AATTGAATTAACTTTCTAAAATTTAATTAATTTAAGAATATTGATTTTCAATAAATTATTACTTTTTGTCGTTCATAGTTGTAAATATAATAAAATTATCGATACTTTGATTATTCAAGACAGATTATTGATTTAATATTTTAATTGCTTTGCTAATGTTTTCTGACAGAATTTTGTTTTATTTCTCAACTAACTAAGTAATGAACTTTTATTATTTTTCAAAATATTTTTTTAGTTCAAACTATCTTTTTCCAATAATCTATTTTTTTTAATACAAATATAATTCTCTTCTACTTCTGGATGAGAACTGCACTTTTTATTCATGATAGAATTAAACAATTGAATTAAATAAAAATAATTCAATTGTTAAAAAATCATATTTTTCTATTAAAATTAAATTAATCTCCTTAATAATAGCTTTTAAAATAAAATTGTGTGATATAACACAGTTGGTTTATGTTAAATACAATAAATTATTGTGTATATAGTAGTAGGAAGATTATTTTAGATTGTAGCCCTAGCAATATTATGATATTTTATATATTATTATTATTATTAATATGTAAATTATATTTTAAATATTATTATTAATATGATAATTTAAAAATTTACATTTAGTCTAACATAAAGTAAATTATTTTTACTTAGATTTTAAAATGTCTATTATGAATGAATTTAGATTTTAATGAGAGTTTATGAATATTTATATACATATTAAAATAATAAATTTGAATGAGGAAGATTAAAATAATAATTAATATTGTAATAATAATAAATGATTACTTAGAACATATATAATCATTTTTCAGGATTGTATTATTTTGTAACAGATTCCATATGTTTCTCAATAAAGAATTGTAATCTCAAAATATAATCTTCATAATAGATAACAGTTGCACTAAAAGAATTAATAAATAATTATACTTTGGATCTCCATTTGTAGCAAATTTGATAAAGTCATCAATCTCTAAAGGTCTAAATTGAATACTATATGATATAATAAATTTAATAATTACCCCATAGTAGTAAGCTTTTATTTTAATGTATCAATTTCAATATATCCTTTCTTTTCTTCATCTAATTATCTAAATGCTGCTAATAATGTATCTGTATCATCTGGATCATATTCATTGCTCTTTAATACTAAAATTTGTAAGTCAAATATTACCTTAAATCATGAATGGTTCAAATTTTTAATATTTGATTGACTCACTAGGCTCATCCTCTTCAATTTATGGAAGAATAGTTTTGCTCACTTAAGCTTCACTAGGAAATTTCCCTAAGAATCTCATTATATATGGAATTTCCCTTTTATATTATACGCCAATATTACTTTTTATCAACATAACCTTTTTTATCTTGAGCAAATAAATTGAAAGTTTCTAGAATCTTCTCTTTCATATATTACTCCATTTTTTATTTTTCTTAAATAGATGCATTAGGGTCCCACATTATTCTAAAAATTATATTTAAAAATATAAATATTTAAAAAGTTTTATAAAAATACTAACATCATTGTTTTATTTGAATTTACACCTTTAAAATTATCAAAGTTTAATTGATGTCCAATATTATTGATTATCTTTAATTATATATATTAGAAATTAATCAAATTATAGAATCTAAACAAAATAAATTATCATTACAACTCTCTTAATATAATGGTTTAAATCAATAATATTTTTATTGAATTATGTTCTTTAGGAAATGGAAAAAATAAACATATAAACTTTTCTGATCCATTTTATTATTCTAACATGTATTCTAATTAAGATTTATATGTAGTGTATAATCTAAATCTCTAATATTATCAATAATTTCTTTTATTTGGGTAATATGTACTTCCTACAGGACTTTATAATATATTTCTTTGAATAAATTTAGAAATTTCACAAGGAAATGAGCAATCATCAAATGAATGAATTACCAATCAAAGTCATTTTCTAATTAGAAAAGAATTTCATAAGCAACTTTCAAATAGTGCTCATAAACAATTTCATAGCTTTTTTTAAAGGGAGAAACTTTGAATTTTTAAATAAGTTTTCCTCATTTCAATCCCATAAAAATTTAATACATATATAAATGAAATAATTTATTATTTAAAGTTTATCAAAAATATTACAAATAATTATGATTTTTTAAATTCTAAAACCTAATTGATAATATCATATAATTTCTTATAATAAGAGAATAATATTTTGTTTTCTTAGTTTAAATACTTAAGTACACTTTTATTTCATAATTAGGGTAAAATATATAATGATAAAAGATGTATTAGATAATGATATTTATTATAAATGGTATTATTATCATATAATAATTCTACTTTTGAACTCTAATTAATTCATAACTAAAAATGATATTTTATATGTATTTTAATGATTTTACATATCAATACACAGATAGATTTTTTGGGAAATTGATAATTATATTATTTAAAGATCATTAAATTTATTTTATAAATCAATATCTTTCTTTCTGTAATAATGGGGTGTCCACCGCTAAGAAAAACACAATCTTCAGATGGAGCACAAAAATATTGGGAACAAATTCAATAGAAAATTATAAAAGAATTAAACGAACCAATAGTTGACAAAGAAGAGAACTAATAAGATAAAAGTTCTGAATTAAAGGAATAGGAAAAAATCATTTAGTAAAATTAAGAGCAAAATTAATTCTCAGAGAATTTAGAAAATCTCAACTAAAAAACCACATAGATAGTTGAAAGAAAAGAATAAAGGATCAGCAAATTAGAAATAACTAATTTAAATTCTCTCTCTATTTCTCTCACAAAGAGATAAAAAAAATTGGACATTTCAAAATAAGAAATAAATCAAAAAATTATGGTAATAAAAAAAGAGGAAACTCAAAACATAGTTTAAAAGTCTTAAGAAGAAGAAAAAATCATAAATTAAGATATAGAAATATAATAAAAAGAAGTATATTAAATTGATAATAATTGTTTAAAATAAAATAATTAATTAGAGATTTAATAAAATAAAAATACTTCAGATATTTAAGATGAAGTCATCTAATAAATATAAGATGATATACCTCAAAGCATAAATGAGGAAAATATTTTGAAAAGGTGTTTTATGATTGATTCAAAATAATTAAAAATTGGTAAATTATCAGCATAGTTTTTGAATAAAATAAAAGTGATTACTAGTGATATCATATTAGATGAAATCATATATAAAGTCATAAATACGACTCAAATAATGTATTCTCAAAGGGTAACTTGGTTAATCAAAGTATTAATTAATTTATCCGAATGTAAAATATAATAATAAAATGCTATATTTTATGATGGTTAAATTTCAAAAGAACTTTTGATGAAATTAATAAATGCAATTCTTGATAAAATTGTGAGTGCAGTAGCAAGACCGTAAAAATTAGAATGGGTAAATGATAGAGAAGATATTAATAAATTCAATAGTGAAGATAATTAAATAGCCTCATAAGTTTATGATATGATGTTTGGATAATAAATTTTAGATAGTTTAGATGTTAGTAATGATAATTTAGACTATCCAGCTCTAAATTATTTATTAACATATCTTGATACTAAATGTTAAACTTAAGATTCTTTAAGATTTTTAGAATTAATTACAAAAAGAGAACTATTCAAATGTTAAAAAGTAAATTTAAAAGATTGCGCTAATTAAGAAAGAGCTCTATAATTGTTAAATAAATTATCTTTATATCCAAAATTAACAGAACTTTTATTGGAAAATAGTTGGGCTTTTGGAAAATTTTAATAGTTCACTACAGGTAGAGATATATAGAAATATTCCATTTTTGGCTCAATTTTATGTTTAAGTACATTTCCGAGAGATTTTCCTGAAGTAAAATCTATTTTTGGTAATCAAGCCTAAAGCTTATAAATGCATTAAATATGTTATAGAGGTCCAATTTATGATTTAATTAATAAAATGGCTGATATATTTTTAAGAATTATAAGAAGAGGAAAATAAGCTTAATTATAATTATTTACTTTTGTTAGTAAACTGATTGAAATTAATCTTGATATTGAAAAAGTAACTTAAAAAGAAAAATATGAAAAATGTTGCTTTTAGGGTTTGATGTTCAATTTATAATAAGTGTTATTGGAGATTTTTAATCCTTTTATTTATAATAATGAATAAGCTAATGCTAAAGTAAACAAAATAAATAAAGATCTTCTTGCTTATATTAAAGATCATCCTCTTTTAGCTAAAATTTATTAAAATGTTAATTAAATGGCACCATTAAAAACAGTATTTAAACCATTAGATAAATATCCTGATGTCGATCCTATGACATTTTTATATTTATTAATTTAAAAGATTAATTCACTTCAATAACATATGATTATCGATTATGTTTTAGCTTATGTATTTTTGTAATATGATAAAAAACATTTTGGAAGTAATTCTAAATTTACTTAGGAAAGTGAAGTAGATAAAGCAACTTATGATACATTATTGCTTCATCCAAAAAGTGTATAAAATACAATTTAATTTTTATCATTTTAAAGTAAAGTTGCTTTAAGTTTACTTGATGAGAATTGTTAACCAAAATATCCATATGGATTATTATCTAATTAATTTATGCATGATAGCTTTAATTATTGTTTTATTTACAATTCTAATGATTTAGCTTTAGATTATTTAGATGAAATCATTTCTATTTGTGAATTAACTATTATTACTATGAAATATAATGATTTAATTGAAGATATACATCTAAGAGTACAAGGAATGGAATTATTTTATATTTTTAATGATTATGTATCATAAAAGAATAATGCTGCAGCTGAAAAATCATATAAAATATTTGCAGAAAATAAAATCATTAAAGATTATCTAATTGAAGGACTTATTAAAGCATATGTTGATCATGATAGAGTAAAAGTCAGCAACATTTTACCTCCATTAAGATTTAAGTCAGCTATTTCTCAATTATTTACATATATATTAACAACTCATAAATAAATATATGAAAAGAAGTTTTTATGGTACATCAAAGTCAACACTAAAACCTATTAAAGTTTTGCTTATGTGTATATTAATGATATCAAAGAAATGGTAGATCAATGTATAACTTAGACAAAAAAAATAAAAGAAAATGAAGATAATGAATCTAATTAACCAGCTATGAATTAAGCATTATTACCTATTTAGGAAAAATTCATCAAACAGATTCTGAAATAGATTGCAGAAAAGAAATGTATTTTTGATTGGAAGGGGGTAACAGAATTATTTTAAAATCTTATAATCTTTACTAAAATTGAACCATAAGCATTTCTAATCGAAGAAACAAGATAATAATTTGTCTAAAATCTTAATTATGTTTTAGAATAATTGAATGGTCAATAAAATGACTTTTTGAATTCCAAATTCTTCACCAATTATGATGTATAACCTAAAGAATTATCAATCAAAATAATTGAAATATTCATTAACCTTAAAAGCTAAACTGTTTTTTGGGATGAAATAATCATGAATAATTAGTATTATATTCTATTTATTTTAGATCTTTGTAAATTGATATGTTACATTAGTTGATAAATAAATTAAGTTATTAAAAAACAATTCCTGAATAATAACTATAAGAATTCTTTAAAGTTTTGGATAACTTAGATTTGTTAAGACATGATTTTGACTAAATAATGAATGATCTTTTAAAGGATCCAAATAAAGAAAGAAAATATCTTGATTCTCTTACTAGAAATTTGATGAGTGATCCAGTGATGCTGCCAAATTCAAAAGTATGATAGTTAATAGATAATAATTAGTAAATATTGGATAGAGTGACAATAAAAAGATTATTAATAAAAAAATAGGAAGATCCATTTGATAGATCCTTTTTAAGTGAAGATATGCTTGTAGAATAAAAAGAATTAAAATAAGAAATAAAATAATATATTGAATCAAAAAAATAAGAAATGAGACTATTAAGGCAATCGAAAAGTAAATACTAAAATTGATTACAAATTAATAATTTTCGCTATTTTAACATTATTATTGTTTATTTTCAGATTTTTTGTCCCATATAAATTAATACCAAAATATAGGAATTATATAGATTTATTATATTTCATATATGCAAAAACTAAAGTTTAAAATTAGTTGCCAGTTTATTTATTATTTAACTAGTAAGATATAAAGTAATTTATTAATTTTATCAGATCTTTTTGAATATAAAATAAATCCTAATTAAGAATTATATTGCNAGAAAAGAAATGTATTTTTGATTGGAAGGGGGTAACAGAATTATTTTAAAATCTTATAATCTTTACTAAAATTGAACCATAAGCATTTCTAATCGAAGAAACAAGATAATAATTTGTCTAAAATCTTAATTATGTTTTAGAATAATTGAATGGTCAATAAAATGACTTTTTGAATTCCAAATTCTTCACCAATTATGATGTATAACCTAAAGAATTATCAATCAAAATAATTGAAATATTCATTAACCTTAAAAGCTAAACTGTTTTTTGGGATGAAATAATCATGAATAATTAGTATTATATTCTATTTATTTTAGATCTTTGTAAATTGATATGTTACATTAGTTGATAAATAAATTAAGTTATTAAAAAACAATTCCTGAATAATAACTATAAGAATTCTTTAAAGTTTTGGATAACTTAGATTTGTTAAGACATGATTTTGACTAAATAATGAATGATCTTTTAAAGGATCCAAATAAAGAAAGAAAATATCTTGATTCTCTTACTAGAAATTTGATGAGTGATCCAGTGATGCTGCCAAATTCAAAAGTATGATAGTTAATAGATAATAATTAGTAAATATTGGATAGAGTGACAATAAAAAGATTATTAATAAAAAAATAGGAAGATCCATTTGATAGATCCTTTTTAAGTGAAGATATGCTTGTAGAATAAAAAGAATTAAAATAAGAAATAAAATAATATATTGAATCAAAAAAATAAGAAATGAGACTATTAAGGCAATCGAAAAGTAAATACTAAAATTGATTACAAATTAATAATTTTCGCTATTTTAACATTATTATTGTTTATTTTCAGATTTTTTGTCCCATATAAATTAATACCAAAATATAGGAATTATATAGATTTATTATATTTCATATATGCAAAAACTAAAGTTTAAAATTAGTTGCCAGTTTATTTATTATTTAACTAGTAAGATATAAAGTAATTTATTAATTTTATCAGATCTTTTTGAATATAAAATAAATCCTAATTAAGAATTATATTGCTATTCATATTTGATTCTTTATTCATGTACTATTTCAGTTTAATAGAAATTTAAATATTTAAAATAAATATTTTCTGATTATTAAAAACAAACAATAAATTTTATTTTTATTATTAAAATGGTGCTTATATTTATAATATCAAACCAGAATTAATCAAAAGAGTCTTTATAGAAGATATTGAGATATGATGATATCTTTGAGGTTTAAAATGTTTTTAAAGTTTTCTTTGGAAATTCATTGAATTTTCTTCATTTTGCTAACATTTTAATGTGTTAGAGAATTTGATAAATCCATATGACAAATAGATATTTTTAAGTTTGAGATATAAAATTTGATTCATTATGTCAAATATTTATATATAATAAATTGTTCTATGGGTTAAAATCAATCTTAACCAGTTTAATAGAAATAAGATTATGAAAAATATTGGACTTTGATCTAAAATGGTGTGTAAAAAAAGCTTGAGTATGAAGAATTTTAAAGATAAAGAAATTTATAAATATAAGCGGAACTTAAAGAAAAAAAGCAAAAATAAGAATTACAAAAGTAATAAAACTAAGAAATAAGTCAAAGATAATAGATTTAAGAAGTATAAAAGATAGAATAAAGAATAGTATAATAATAACCAATAATTAACATTCCATCTTAAGTAATGAATAAAAAAATGAATGAAGCTAAGCAAGAAGTACACAAAGAAAAAAAATTAGAAGTTTTAATACCTAATGAAGTAATTAATCAGAAATGTTAGACAGTTTAATAAAAAGAAATATATAAAATCAATAATAATATTGTAATATGGAATCCTTAATAAGAAATTTAATTAATTAAAAATCGAAAAAAATTTCAAAATGAAGTTCAATAAAACATTTAAGATTTAATTCCATAAAATGTATAAAATCATTTTATACAAAATACATAAAAAGGATTCATATAAAATGAAGTCCCGTTAAATATTTAAGATGGATTCAATTAAAATATTTAAGAAAGAGCCACAAACAATACATAAAATTAAATGATATAATATATATAAAAGGAAGGAGAAGAATATAACTAAGATTAAGTCATATAAAATCAAAAAGATAACGATTAATCAAATGTATAAGCAAAAAATAATTAACAAAAAAAAGTTTAAGATACATAAGTTTAAGTTGAATAACAAATGGAAAATGATAAATGTTAAAACATTAATGAGGAATGTATTTTGAAAAGGTGTTTTATGATTGATTCTAAATAATTAAAAATTGGTTAATTATCAGCTTAATTTTTGAATAAAATAAAAGTGATTACTAGTGATATCATATTAGATGAAATCATATATAAAGTCATAAATACGACTCAAATAATGTATTCTCAAAGGGTAACTTGGTTAATCAAAGTATTAATTAAATTATCAGAATGTAAAATATAATAACAAAATGCTATATTTTATGAAGGATAAATTTCAAAAGAACTTTTGATGAAATTGATAAATGCAATTCTTGATAAAATTGTAAGTGCAGTAGCAAGACCATAAAAATTAGAATGGACAAATGATAGAGAAGATATTAATAAATTTAATAGTAATGAAAATTAAATAGCTACATAAGTATATGATATGATGTTTGGATAATAAATTTAAAAAAAATTAGATGTTAGTTTTGATAATTTAGACTATCCAGCTCTAAATTATTTATTAACATATCTTGATACTAAATGTTAAACTTAAGATGCTTTAAGATTTTTAGAATTAATTACAAAAAGAGAACTACTCAAATGTTACAAAGTAAATTTAAATGATTGTGTTGATTAATAAAGAGCTTTAGAATTGTTAAATAAATTATCTTTATATCCAAAATTAACAGAACTTTTATTGGAAAATAGTTGGGCTTTTGGAAAATTTTAATAGTTCACTACAGGTAGAGATATATAGAAATATTCCATTTTTGGCTCAATTTTATGTTTAAGTACATTTCCGAGAGATTTTCCTGAAGTAAAATCTATTTTTGGTAATCAAGCCTAAAGCTTATAAATGTATTAAGAATGCTATAGAGGTCCAATTTATGATTTAATTAATAAAATGGCTGATATATTCTTAAGAATTATAAGAAGAGGGAAAGAAGCTTAATTATAATTATTTACTTTTGTTAGTAAACTAATTGAAATTAATCTTGATATTGAAAAAGTAACTTAAAAAGAAAAATATGAAAAATGTTGCTTTTAGGGTTTGATGTTCAATTTATAATAAGTGTTATTGGAGATTTTTAATCCTTTTATTTATAATAATGAATAAGCTAATGCTAAAGTAAACAAAATAAATAAAGATCTTCTTGCTTATATTAAAGATCATCCTCTTTTAGCTAAAATTTATTAAAATGCTAAATAAATGGCACCATAAAAAACAGCATTTAAACCATTAGATAAATATCCTGATGTCGATCCTATGACATTTTTATATTTATTAATTTAAAAGATTAATTCACTTCAATAACATATGATTATTGATTATGTTTTAGCATATGTATTTTTGTAATATGACCAAAAAATTTTTGGAAATAATTCTAAATTTACTTAGGAAAGTAAAGTAGATAAAGCAACTTATGATACATTATTGCTTCATCCAAAAAGTGTATAAAATACAATTTAATTTTTATCATTTTAAAGTAAAGTTGCTTTAAGTTTACTTGATGAGAATTGTTAACCAAAATATCCATATGGATTATTATCTAATTAATTTATGCATGATAGCTTTAATTATTGTTTTATTTACAATTCTAATGATTTAGCTTTAGATTATTTAGATGAAATCATTTCTATTTGTGAATTAACTATTATTACTATGAAATATAATGATTTACTTGAAGATATACATCTAAGAGTACAAGGAATGGAGTTATTTTATATTTTTAATGATTATGTATCATAAAAGAATAATAAAACAATAGAAAAGTCTTATAAAATATTTTCAGAAAATAAAATTATAAAAGATTATCTTATTGATGGTCTTATGAATGCATATATTGATCATGATAGAGTTAAAGTCAGTAACATTATACCTCCAAATAGATTTAAATAAGCAATTTCTGAATTGTTTACATACATTTTGACAACTCATAAAGATATATATGAAAAGAAATTTTTAATGTACATTAAGGTAAACTCAAATACATATTAAAAATTTGCATTTGTCTACATTAATGATATAAAGGAAATTTATGAATAATGTATTTCAAAGACGAAATAGTTAAAAGAAGACGAAATTAAATTAAACATTTAAATAAAAAAGTTATACATAATAAGAAAAGTAGTTATTGATTATTTTAACTATCGATTATCATATTTAGGAGAAGAGATGCCTTTAGGATTGGAAGAGTTTGGAAGAGATATTTATAAATATAATATCATTTACAAAAATAGAGTCTTGCGCATTTTTGATAGAAGAGACTCGATAATAATTTGGTCAAAATTTAAATTACATTTTAGAAAATTTGAATAGTAAAGAAAGTGAATAAATAATGAATTCAAGTATTTTCAATAGAAATGAATTGAAGATAAATCCATAAAATATATCAAATAATATAGTTGAAATATTTATAAATTTGAAGAACGAATCAATATTTTGGGATGAGATAGCTCTTAATAATTCGTAATATTATAAAATTTTATGATTTTAGGTCTTTGTAGAGAGAAATTTTAAATTAATTGGGATAAAAATTGAAATATTAAAGATAATTTCCTGCTTATAAAATAGAAGAATTTTATAAAATTTTGGATAATTTGGAGTATATTAAGAGTGATTACAATTAAATAATGCTAGATCTTTCTAAGGATCGTAGTAGAGAAGAGAGATATATTGATTGTCTTACAAATCTATTAATGAGTGATCCAGTGATGCTGCCAAATTCAAAAGTATGAAAGTTAATAGATAATAATTAGTAAATAGTGGATAGAGTGACAATAAAAAGATTATTAATAAAAAAATAGGAAGATCCATTTGATAGATCCTTTTTAAGTGAAGATATGCTTGTAGAATAAAATGAATTAAAATAAGAAATAAAATAATATATTGAGTCAAAAAAATAAGAAATGAGACTATTAAGGTAGGGTCAATAATAATGAATAGGAATGTGTGAGTTAATATAAAATAATAAATAATTTATATGTTCATATAAAATGGGTAGATATACAAATGAAATAACAAAATATAATTAAATAATATTATTAATAATAAATCTTATTTTTAATGTGGTTTGGATCAAAAAAATAGAACGTTAATCAAAATGGTTAATAATTTGTGGCTCATAGACATAAGGCAGCTAATTAATAAGGTAGGTGTATGTATAAATAAGAATTTTAGGAGGTCTTTCATTGTCATATGGTGAAGAGAATTCTGAAACATAGAAGGTGGCAGCAAATGTGTTTAAATAATTGGGTAGTAAATTAATGACTGGTAATTTTGGATCAATGATGTAAATAAGCAAGCCTATTGCAATGTCATTGGATATGAGTTTTTTACATGGAGTAGCGTTGTAAGAAAAAAGAATATAAAATTAGAGGACATACATATAGTAATTTATTAGAGAGATGTAGCAAATTATCAGCATTAGAATAAATAAAATATATATCAGCATATTATGTAATAAGAATTTATATTAATATGATTAGGTATCAGGAATGCATTGTAATGGAGAGTATACAAAAATGAAATCACCTTTAGATCCATTGGTAGGTGAGACATTATAAGTAATAATATACAAAATAAACATGTAGTTGGTTAAAGAAGATGGAACATAATTTTATGCAGAATAAACTAGTTATGATCCACAAGTTTGTTATTATTACATACAAGGAAACAATTATAAAATATATGGTAATGACAGGTTAGATATATATGTTCATAAGACGGTAAATTCATTAACAGGTGTACAGAATGGTAGATAGACAATATAATTTAATAATGGAGCAATTTACAAATGTATGTAAAGACCCACTATGTAAAAATTATATAGTATGTATCAATAGGGAAATAACAGGATTAGTAATGGGAGAAAGAATATTGAATTGGTAAGGTAAAATGATAGTAGAAGGACCTGGAGTTAAATCTGTTATATCATTTAATTATAATACTGAAGGAATGTTATCTAAAATTACTTCATTCTTTAAATCAGCAGAATAAGCTAAAATTTATGATATTGTAGAAGTTGATATCTTTTCAGTTGAAATTGATGAAAATGGAAAAAAAATTGAGTAATTTTTTAATATTAATAATTTTATAGAACATTATTATAATAAGGAATTGGATCATGGTTAGAAGGTTTGATTTTTGGAGAAGAGAATATTTGGTAAATTGATGAAGTAAAAATGAAATGGAATTCACCATCAGAAGTTTTATTGTCTGATACTACTAAAAGATAAGATCTTATCTTTATGAGAAATTAATAAATGGAAGATGCATAAAAGTATTTATATATATATCATAAATAGAGCTAAATTACAATTAGAAGAATAGAATTATAAGGACATTGAAAATAGAAGAAAAAAATAATGAATATATATCATTTAAACACAATAAAATGTCGATGGCTATCTACTTTCTTCAATATTTAATCTATCAATTCTTGAGGTTTATTCATATCTCCTAAAATACATTTCAAATGATGCAAGAATCTATCAAATTATTGATCACTTATGTTCAAGTTCTTATGTACTTCTACTAAATCTCTTTATATTCATCATTTTAAATACTTTCCACTATATTTTGTATGAATGCAACCAAACATTTAAGCAAAAAAAGTCTTTTATTATAGTCTCACTCTAGTCATATCAGCCTTTAAAAACATGCTTCTCAAACTTTAATCGAATAACACCTTATAATAAAACTGATCAATCAAATCTGATATCTAACCATCACCTCCAAATGACTCAAACATACTCTGATCCATATGTTAATTATATTTAAAATAAATATGTATATTAATTTACACCATCCAATAATTTAATCACAACTCAAGTATCAAAAAGATAACATTAATACTACAGACTTTCAAATAATATATCCTTCTTCTTCTTCACTTTTATATTGTATATAAATATGTCAATCTTATCAGTCTAGTATGTAAGATCTCAAATGTATAGGCTAATTGTATTCTTTGTAAAATGATCGCAAATGTCTCATGAATAAACTATCATATTCAACCAATATTCCAGGAATTCTTAAAATGCACTAATATAGTTACATGTGTTTGTGTAAGTTATATAATACTCTAAAACAAACTGTTTAAAATTTGTACTCTGACTTTGTAAAGAGTCATATTCATTAAATAGGATTCACTATATAACTATCATAATTAGATTTCAGAGAAACAATTTTATTTTTCCGTATGATCTTTGCGTCATTTGAAGTTGAATAAAGTATACATAAATTCCAGTACAAGTGCCTAGCTTAAAGTTTAGCTAATTATCTGAATTGAAATTTTTGTTTAAGTTATCAGTTCTTGCAAAATGTTTTAGAGTAAATTATTGCTAAGTAATCGAGAAACTTAGAATCAAATCGCTTTCAAAAATTTTAAATAAGTTCAATAATCACTGTAGTTGTCCAACAATATATATAAATATTTAGTTGGATTTGACTAAAAGAAGATTTCAACTTTTGATATAACACAACAGAATAGATACTCAACTTTGAACTTATGTCTTCATAATGGGTGTGAAACAAAGAGCGATTGTATTGTAGGATGTCGATTTTGATATTTTTTAATAGCTATCACATATTGATTATAAAAGGATTATTGCAGAAATCAAGAGAAAAAGAAAAAAGTAAGGAAAGAAGATAAAATAAATATAATTTGATATCAGATATAAATAATGGTAATATAATAATCTTAGCCAAAAGAAGCTCTATTTTTATTTTTCTGTATATTATATTGAAATAATACACAGAAAAGGATGAATATAAAAGTAGGGAGACTCCATAAATATATGTATGATTTATGTTTAATGAATACGATATATGTGCATGTAGATGAATGCATAGTTTTTATAAATGATAGAATCCTCAAGTCATATTAGTAAATGATTAAGAATTCAATGAGAATATCTTCATATTTTAAGATCTATTTATCAATTGAGATAAGAGATCGAATACCATTTAAGCACTTCATTAATTTTAATCAACCTATTTATTATTGGATTGACAGCATATAATTCAAAGATTCTCTGTTTTAATTATTTAATTTTGATGATTAACAGTTGTTTATTTAAAGAGATATATATATGTATTACTAATTAAATTCAATGAAACTTTTAAAGTACTTATTCCATGTCATTAATTTTGATATTCAATTTTTCAATGGCAATTAAAATTCTAAATAAGTTATCTGTTAGATCTTATTGATTTCTGAAATCAATTTTTTACAGATCATTCTAATACAGACTTTAATAAAAAATGGATTTTTAGGAATTAAGTATAAAAATTATGATAAAAAGGATAATAAAAAATAATAATAAACATACTAACAAATCTAAACTTAGTTGTCTTTTAACCAATTAATAAAATGGAAATGTTAATTCTAGATATATGAGTATGTCAATCAAGAGATTATTATCTAACTTTTTTTTTAAATATATGCTTATTTTATACTTAATTCTAATTTTCAAACTTCATATGATTGAATAGCAATAAAAACTCTAAATTAGTCAGATTATCATATATAGCAGAACAATCTGCTTTACGATTCTTTATAATTAAATTCTTATTGTATTTTTAAGTACTTCCATAAAAATCATCAAAATTAATAATATTCTTCATCCTTACAAATTTTAATAAATAAGACGTTACACATTTGCTGTTTTCTCTAAAACGACAATAGATTTTGGTATAATTTGATTTTATGGATTCTTTCTAAACTTTAATATTAAAATCAATAATTTTAATTACTATGAATATTGATAAATATGCTGTCATACATCGTGAACAATTAGAAAAACTTATTTAATCTACTTAATTCTAACCTCTACCCAATCAACCAATACTCACATACTCTTATAAATTTAGGTATCAACTTTTTATATTTTTTTAGATACGATCTCAAAAAATAAGATCAAACCAAAAGTAGGTTCTGTCCAGATCCACTCATTAGTAAAGAATATGAAAGAGTCCTTTATGAAAAATTTAATGCTTATTGAATATTTACTTCCTGCTTTTATAATTATTTAAATTCAAATTTATATTATCATTTATATCGAACATCAAAAAAAATACTTACTCCCTCCCAAAATTTATTTAATGCTAACAATCAAGATAGAATTACATTCTCTAATTGTCTTCTTATTAATAATTTATCAAAGTATTAGAATTGATGCCAAATTAATTAAATTACTAAAATTTTCTATATAAGAGCTAGAAATATCAAAGATATGAAATATTTAAATTTATCATATCTATAATTAACTACTAAAATATTATAACTCATAAAAAAATAAATTTAATAAATAATGTTTAAAGATCATTCTTTATCGAAGATTATTTTAATTATTATTATTCAATAATATGATTACTCTATTATTTATAATTTTTAAGTTCTAAAACCAGGAAGAATTAAATAAACATCCTCTCTTTAATTTTGATGAAATTCTCTTAAATTTCTATAAAGGAATGATTATGTTATCTCCTTTTAATTAAAATAAGCAGATTTTAAAAATTGAAAAAAGGAGATTTCAATACCTATAAAAATGTTACTCATTGAGAATCAATCAGAATATTAAGACTTAAGCCCTTAACCAGATATTTTTATTTGCTTTAGATACTATTTTAATCCTAAATGATAATTTATTAGTATCAGAAATTATTTTAAAAAGAAATGATAAGGATGATATAAAAATTGATAAAAACTACGTTATCTAAGATATCTAAACTTCCATTAAAGATTCATGATTAGTATTTATATTGATTGTATCAAATTAATTTGAAAATATTAATTTTCTATTTTTAAAAGTTAATGCTTGAATTATACTAAAATGAAGGAACACTAACAAAGTAATGATTTATTTCCAATAAATAATAGTATAAGTGATGATTTAGATAGCTCCGAAATGAATAGAACATCAATATCTCGCACACATATCAACAAGACCAAACCGTTCACTCAAACCAACCCATACGATGTATCAAATTTTCCTTCAGTTTTTGACCAAGATTACTTTAATGAATTTATTAAAACGTATTCTTAATTAGACTCTATCCTCATACTTAAAGCAGCTGATGGAATTGTAGAATTTGGAAAAATTATACAAAAAATTAGTTAGAATAAATAATAAATTCAAGTTGATGCTTAAAACTTCAAAACCAAATTAATTTCTGTTATAGCTGCTCCTAAAAAACAAATAGCTCAAATGACCATTTATATTTATACACATAACTCCTTTCTTTATAAAGAAATGAATAAAGCTCTAAGAGAATAAGATAAAACCAAAGCTTGTATAGGATATTATGCTTTTTTACTAAGTTTAAGTCTAACCTTTTTGGCTAATCAATCAGAATATAAACCTTATGATGGTCCGCTTTTTAGAGGGGTTTTCTTAACTGAAGAATAAAAATTATAATATATAAAAGCTTTTTAAGGAATCAATAGTGAAACTAGAGAAAGGAATAGCTTCAACTATTTCACATGGCATGGATTCATTTCATCAACAAAAATTCTGTCTAAAGCATTAAAATTTGGAAATACTCTATTTATTATTTCCTTTGATAAAATACATCCAATTGAAGTTGAAAAATATTCCTTCTTTCCTAAAGGATCAGAAGTATTATTCCTTAATAGAGTTCATTGCACAATTAAAGATATTAAATATATCGGGGAATTTATGGTCATTCAAGTCTTTCTAACATAAAATCTAGGAATTTGAGAATTTTATATTAATATCCACTTAATAAAATACTAACTTTAGTATTTAATTACTTTATAATATATATTTTAANATCAGAAATTATTTTAAAAAGAAATGATAAGGATGATATAAAAATTGATAAAAACTACGTTATCTAAGATATCTAAACTTCCATTAAAGATTCATGATTAGTATTTATATTGATTGTATCAAATTAATTTGAAAATATTAATTTTCTATTTTTAAAAGTTAATGCTTGAATTATACTAAAATGAAGGAACACTAACAAAGTAATGATTTATTTCCAATAAATAATAGTATAAGTGATGATTTAGATAGCTCCGAAATGAATAGAACATCAATATCTCGCACACATATCAACAAGACCAAACCGTTCACTCAAACCAACCCATACGATGTATCAAATTTTCCTTCAGTTTTTGACCAAGATTACTTTAATGAATTTATTAAAACGTATTCTTAATTAGACTCTATCCTCATACTTAAAGCAGCTGATGGAATTGTAGAATTTGGAAAAATTATACAAAAAATTAGTTAGAATAAATAATAAATTCAAGTTGATGCTTAAAACTTCAAAACCAAATTAATTTCTGTTATAGCTGCTCCTAAAAAACAAATAGCTCAAATGACCATTTATATTTATACACATAACTCCTTTCTTTATAAAGAAATGAATAAAGCTCTAAGAGAATAAGATAAAACCAAAGCTTGTATAGGATATTATGCTTTTTTACTAAGTTTAAGTCTAACCTTTTTGGCTAATCAATCAGAATATAAACCTTATGATGGTCCGCTTTTTAGAGGGGTTTTCTTAACTGAAGAATAAAAATTATAATATATAAAAGCTTTTTAAGGAATCAATAGTGAAACTAGAGAAAGGAATAGCTTCAACTATTTCACATGGCATGGATTCATTTCATCAACAAAAATTCTGTCTAAAGCATTAAAATTTGGAAATACTCTATTTATTATTTCCTTTGATAAAATACATCCAATTGAAGTTGAAAAATATTCCTTCTTTCCTAAAGGATCAGAAGTATTATTCCTTAATAGAGTTCATTGCACAATTAAAGATATTAAATATATCGGGGAATTTATGGTCATTCAAGTCTTTCTAACATAAAATCTAGGAATTTGAGAATTTTATATTAATATCCACTTAATAAAATACTAACTTTAGTATTTAATTACTTTATAATATATATTTTAATTAACAATTATTATAACACATTGTAACACAACTCCCAAGAAACCTCTACTTGAGCCAACAAAAATTCCAATAATCATAATCTCAGAAAATCGAGATTACTTTTAAGTGTTAGGACCTAAATGAACATTTATGAGACAGTTTATAAATCTACCTTTACCCTTTTTATAGACTGCCTTCAGAGTTATAATTTAAGAAACCTAATTTGATTATTGTATTTTTTGTTTGCAATTTAATATAAAATATCACATATTAACTTTTTAGCTTAACTAACCCAATTTAAATATTATCAACAATTACATTTTTCAAATAATATAAATTCTTATCTCACTATATTACAGTATTTACATTAATTCCAATGTTGACAGGATCATAAGATTTACTGTTTTGTATTTATCCTTTAACTATACTAAAATTCATAAAATAATTATATATATATAACAGTCTATATTCTTTTTCAAGTTAATTCTTTTTTAAAATTCTTCATACTTCAAAATTTATTCTCTCTGAATAATACTCTAAGCCTAATTATCTAATTAAAATGCTTGAATGTATCTAAAGAACACTCCTTCATTAAAAGAACCTTTAAGATTAATTAATTAAGATAATAAAGAATTATAAAGAATTAAGCATTACTATGACAATAATATTGAAAAATGTTGTTAAAAAATATAAATTTTGGTTGATCTTTATTATTTGACTTCCAAAACATTTTCATTGTAATTTAATTTTCTAATTCTTTTTTAAAAAGTTTGATTGCATTCATTGCTTATATGAATATTTGATTGATTGAAAGTCATCTTTTTCCTCATTTTTATTTTTTTATTAAAAATGAATGAATCCACTTTTTTTAAATCTACTTTCTATTTAATGCTTAAATATTTTTTGATTAATTTTGAAAATGTTTCTTGATTTTTTTGAATAACACATTTTAAAATTCCATATTTTGGATTAAATTTTTAATTGATTTTCTAAATTTCTTTTTATTTTTTCGAATAAAAATTTAATTTCTTTAGAGATGTTATAAACTCTATATTTAGTTATGCTATTTTTAAGTATCCCACTGATTTTAATTTTTAAACATATTAAATGTAAAAATACACTGCTTTAGTTTTTAACCATTCAATTAGATAAAAAAGCTTCTTAAAATTTAATGTGTAAAGATTGTTTTTAAAAGTTACATCAAAATCACGAATTTGAAACATATGCAAAAAAACTTGACTAAATTCTATTTGAATAGTAATAAAAGATTTCCTTAATATTAGAATAACAAGAATCACTATAATTAAAGATATAGTAAGGAGTTGATAAAAACTTTGAGTTGATTTGGCAATAGTAAAATTATAAAATGAAGAACTATGAATAAACTAGAAGTAATTTGTTATTAATTAAGGAATAATCACTTAAAAGTTTAGAAAAACCTTTAAATCACTAAATTATTCAGTACAATATTAATAAAACGCTGCTTAGTAAAACTACTGAAAGAATTAAATAGGAATATTCAATCGAATATCAGAATTTCTATGAAAAGATGACTTTTGATTTAAAAAAAGATGAAAAGGAAATGATATTATTCACATTAGACTTAGATAGAAAATGTCATAATAACAAAGATAAATTATTGCATTAACTTGATGAATCTCAAAATAAAATAAATTAACTTAATAATTAATTGAAATTTATTGATGAAAGATATGAATCTTTTAATTTAAAAATTTTGAATGAATTAACATAATTATTATAAATTCATTTAAATATCAAATAGTTAATAGATAATCAAAGAGAGTAATTTAAAGATCAACTATTAAATTATAGATTATTTTATTAAAAGGATCTTTAGAATGGGCTTAAAAAAATTTATGAAGAAATAATCTAAGAAGAATAACAAATTAAAGTATTAATTTAAAAATTTTAATAAATTCCTAANTCCAATGTTGACAGGATCATAAGATTTACTGTTTTGTATTTATCCTTTAACTATACTAAAATTCATAAAATAATTATATATATATAACAGTCTATATTCTTTTTCAAGTTAATTCTTTTTTAAAATTCTTCATACTTCAAAATTTATTCTCTCTGAATAATACTCTAAGCCTAATTATCTAATTAAAATGCTTGAATGTATCTAAAGAACACTCCTTCATTAAAAGAACCTTTAAGATTAATTAATTAAGATAATAAAGAATTATAAAGAATTAAGCATTACTATGACAATAATATTGAAAAATGTTGTTAAAAAATATAAATTTTGGTTGATCTTTATTATTTGACTTCCAAAACATTTTCATTGTAATTTAATTTTCTAATTCTTTTTTAAAAAGTTTGATTGCATTCATTGCTTATATGAATATTTGATTGATTGAAAGTCATCTTTTTCCTCATTTTTATTTTTTTATTAAAAATGAATGAATCCACTTTTTTTAAATCTACTTTCTATTTAATGCTTAAATATTTTTTGATTAATTTTGAAAATGTTTCTTGATTTTTTTGAATAACACATTTTAAAATTCCATATTTTGGATTAAATTTTTAATTGATTTTCTAAATTTCTTTTTATTTTTTCGAATAAAAATTTAATTTCTTTAGAGATGTTATAAACTCTATATTTAGTTATGCTATTTTTAAGTATCCCACTGATTTTAATTTTTAAACATATTAAATGTAAAAATACACTGCTTTAGTTTTTAACCATTCAATTAGATAAAAAAGCTTCTTAAAATTTAATGTGTAAAGATTGTTTTTAAAAGTTACATCAAAATCACGAATTTGAAACATATGCAAAAAAACTTGACTAAATTCTATTTGAATAGTAATAAAAGATTTCCTTAATATTAGAATAACAAGAATCACTATAATTAAAGATATAGTAAGGAGTTGATAAAAACTTTGAGTTGATTTGGCAATAGTAAAATTATAAAATGAAGAACTATGAATAAACTAGAAGTAATTTGTTATTAATTAAGGAATAATCACTTAAAAGTTTAGAAAAACCTTTAAATCACTAAATTATTCAGTACAATATTAATAAAACGCTGCTTAGTAAAACTACTGAAAGAATTAAATAGGAATATTCAATCGAATATCAGAATTTCTATGAAAAGATGACTTTTGATTTAAAAAAAGATGAAAAGGAAATGATATTATTCACATTAGACTTAGATAGAAAATGTCATAATAACAAAGATAAATTATTGCATTAACTTGATGAATCTCAAAATAAAATAAATTAACTTAATAATTAATTGAAATTTATTGATGAAAGATATGAATCTTTTAATTTAAAAATTTTGAATGAATTAACATAATTATTATAAATTCATTTAAATATCAAATAGTTAATAGATAATCAAAGAGAGTAATTTAAAGATCAACTATTAAATTATAGATTATTTTATTAAAAGGATCTTTAGAATGGGCTTAAAAAAATTTATGAAGAAATAATCTAAGAAGAATAACAAATTAAAGTATTAATTTAAAAATTTTAATAAATTCCTAATAGTAGTTCATGTAGTACAAAAGGACAAAATATGCCGTAGTCAAATACAATACAAAATGCAGGAGATTTCAAGAGATTAACTAGAAACAGTTCAATTAAGACAATAAATATAAGAAATTAAATATCGACAGCTCAATAAGAATCCATTCAAATGAACAATTAATTACAGATTTAAAACGAAGTCTTCCATAAAAAAATAAATTCTCAATTTCAATAAGAGTATTTTAAAATAAATTATCAACAAAACGAATTTCAGGTAGAAAATAAAAGAGATTGCAAAATGAAAAATTTGGTTTCAAACTAATAAATTCAACAGAATTAAAATTATCTTTGGAAAGTTCCAGGAAATCATAATTGTTGAATAAAAACAATATTTTATGTTTTATCAATATTAAATATAAATAATAGTAAATAAATGAATTTACTCTAATAAGAATAGTTTTCCTTAAATATTTGTGGATTCAAATAAATAATAGAAAATGCAACAAGGAAAGTTATTATAAATAAAAAATGATAAATTCTATTATTAAAATTAAGAACCTATCGGAGACATGAAAAGTGTGAATCTAAAAATATAGTAGAAAATCTATTAAACAAGTCTCCAAGCTATTTTTGGTAGAATTTTAAGTTTTAAATTCTAAATAGATTATTAATTTTTAAGTTATTATTTATAAAATCAATTAAAAAATGTCAGTTAAATTAAATCCTTGTACTATTTGCAATTAAGACGGTGAATTATTCATTTGCATATCACCTTAATGTTTAAAAAGTGAAAATAATAAACTATCATGCTATAAGTGTTTTCACAAAAGTCATAATTCTCAATAGCATCAACCTGAGTCTTATAAAAACATTTAACAAACATCATAATAAAATTAAAAAGCTTATGTGAAATTTATTGAATAACATATGAAAGACAATGCAAATGAATAGGAAATGTATGAAAAATATCTTGATGATACTTTTTAGAAGATAAGAAAATGGTTTGATGATTAAAAGAAAACTATTAAGGTACATTATGAAAAAGAATATTAAATTTTAAGAGATAATATCAATCAAGATTAAACCGAAGAACTTAATTTAAAATAATAGTTAAAGTTCTTCTCTTATAAATAAAACGATTATATTGAACTAATTGAAAAGAGAAATTAATAATTTTAAAGATATAAGAATTTTGAAATGATGGAACTAGATTTTAAAATATAATATTTAATTTAGACTTAATTGATACTACCTTATATAGGGACCTAAGATTATTTAAATTTAACATTTAATCAAGATAAATAAAACGAAATACTTTATTGTTAATTTCATAAAACTTAAAAAAAATATTTATGTACTAATTAGAATTGTGTTAGTAATAATAATAATAATAATTGTTTTTGTGAATTTTGCATAATTGAAAAAAAAATCTGTCATCAGGATAAAGATTTAATAAAAATAGAAGAAATTTCAAGTAAGTTAGAGGAAAAGAAATAGTAGATTTTTCAATAAAATATTAAAATTGAAAATGAAGTGATAAGTGAGATAGACAAATATGTTGAAAAAAATTGGAAATATGAAAAATAATAATTGTAAAATAAGGTCTAAATAAAAGCCCTATTAATTGCAGAAGTAGAAGCATTTAAAAATTTAAAAGAGGTTTAAGATAATTACTTTAAAATTAAACCAATTAATCCAATTTTGTATGCAAAAAGCTAAGAATAGTTAAATTCTGAATTTCAAAATATATATGAGATTTTAAAAAAAAAATTATCAAATGATTAGAAAAAAGGATCATCAATAGCTTTGCCAAGTCCTTTAGAATCGTCAAAAACTAGTACTTAATTAAATTTTACAAAAGAAATTCAATCCAATAAAAACGAGAAAGAAATTTAACCAAATAAATTTTAGAAAGAAATTCTAGTTGAAAAAATTAGAGAAAAATCACAAACTTTTTATACATAAATAGAAACCCCCACCCTTACAAAGAGATATAAGAATGAATTTGATTTAAATTTATTAACAGAACAAAATAATTTAAAATCTGAAGTTAAAAAGGATAATCATAAACAAAGATAATCAATAAAAATAACAGAAATACAACCTTAAAATTAAAATTATTTCTTGTAAGGATTTCAAAAAAATTTTGATCATCTATATTCAAATAAATCAGAGACAATTCAAAATAAAAATTTTGATTTTGAAAGAGCAGATTCAATATAATAAACTTAAAAATATGATTATCTCAATAGAAGTAGACCTTCATTAGCTTAAGATAACTTAAATAAATTCTTAGATGATAAATTTTTGCCAAAGAGATTAAATACAGAAAATTAGAAATAAATAAGTCAAAATTCATTTTAAAGAAAGGATCATATTCATACAAATATAATAAATAAAACATTAAAGGGATGATTTGAATACTTTATTAATACTTATTGAAGAAAATTATTAATTTTACATTAAATATTTAAAGTATTTTTAGCTTCTTGTTCTATTTGTTTGCCTTAAAAATCATATAATTTTTTTTAATTATATGAGAAAAAGTAATTTATTTAAATTTTAATTAAGTTTATTATAATTATTGCTCTATTAAAAATAAGATATTTGAGGTGCTGATTAATAATTTTTATTGTATGTCTAAATAAAAAATCTAGTATTGCTAAATTTGTTAAAAGGAAGAGGCATAACACATCTGTCCTTCTGCAGGATGTATTAAACCTTAAAATAACTAATTAATTTGCTTCAGATGTTACGTAGACTAGCATGCTAAAAATGAAATTTCTAAGCATAAGCCCTTAACTAAAAATGATTTACAAGGGTCAGCTATTGAAAAATCAAAAGAGTATATCAAATTTTAGGAATAATGTTTAAAAGACAATCAAGAATTATAATAAATGTATGAACAAGATCTTGAACATATCTTCAATAAAATATTTTAATGGCATGGAAATCAAAAAAAGCTTCTAAAAGAGTAAATAGAAAGTGCTAACTCTATTTTGATAGATAATATTAAATAGGCTTAGACAGTTCTCTAAAATCCGACAATAGATTTATTATTATTTTTCCATCTCAATATTAATAATACGATTCAATAAAATTATGAGAGAAAAAAAAAATTATTTAACAGAAATAGAAAACAAGAGATTATGAAATTAGATTATAGGACTGAATAATTAACTAACAATAATCTAATATTTTCAAAGATTTTGAATCTTGAAAAAACTAATTATTAATTAAATTCTATTATTTCTCAAGTAGATATAGTAGTATGTTAAATCCATAAAAAAAAGAATAAATATATTTGTATTCATCCTGATTGTTTAAGTAAAGATAATCAGAAACTTTATTGTAAAAAGTGTATGAAATAAGATCATAATTGCCACGAATTTAAATAATTTGGAAAATTGGTTGAAGAAATATAGAAAGATATTGAAGATAAAAAAAAATTCATTATTGATCTTAATGCATAAAAATAGAATGAAATATTATTATAAGTTGATAAACATTTTGAATATATTTGGAATGCACATAAAGATATATAAGAAGAATCAANATATTTAAAGTATTTTTAGCTTCTTGTTCTATTTGTTTGCCTTAAAAATCATATAATTTTTTTTAATTATATGAGAAAAAGTAATTTATTTAAATTTTAATTAAGTTTATTATAATTATTGCTCTATTAAAAATAAGATATTTGAGGTGCTGATTAATAATTTTTATTGTATGTCTAAATAAAAAATCTAGTATTGCTAAATTTGTTAAAAGGAAGAGGCATAACACATCTGTCCTTCTGCAGGATGTATTAAACCTTAAAATAACTAATTAATTTGCTTCAGATGTTACGTAGACTAGCATGCTAAAAATGAAATTTCTAAGCATAAGCCCTTAACTAAAAATGATTTACAAGGGTCAGCTATTGAAAAATCAAAAGAGTATATCAAATTTTAGGAATAATGTTTAAAAGACAATCAAGAATTATAATAAATGTATGAACAAGATCTTGAACATATCTTCAATAAAATATTTTAATGGCATGGAAATCAAAAAAAGCTTCTAAAAGAGTAAATAGAAAGTGCTAACTCTATTTTGATAGATAATATTAAATAGGCTTAGACAGTTCTCTAAAATCCGACAATAGATTTATTATTATTTTTCCATCTCAATATTAATAATACGATTCAATAAAATTATGAGAGAAAAAAAAAATTATTTAACAGAAATAGAAAACAAGAGATTATGAAATTAGATTATAGGACTGAATAATTAACTAACAATAATCTAATATTTTCAAAGATTTTGAATCTTGAAAAAACTAATTATTAATTAAATTCTATTATTTCTCAAGTAGATATAGTAGTATGTTAAATCCATAAAAAAAAGAATAAATATATTTGTATTCATCCTGATTGTTTAAGTAAAGATAATCAGAAACTTTATTGTAAAAAGTGTATGAAATAAGATCATAATTGCCACGAATTTAAATAATTTGGAAAATTGGTTGAAGAAATATAGAAAGATATTGAAGATAAAAAAAAATTCATTATTGATCTTAATGCATAAAAATAGAATGAAATATTATTATAAGTTGATAAACATTTTGAATATATTTGGAATGCACATAAAGATATATAAGAAGAATCAAATTCTATTCTAATTAATTTATTTTTAATTGAATAACATACTCAATAAAAGTTTAATGAGATTGAAGAGGAAGCTGTTTCTCAAGACATATTATTAAATGGTAAATTAATTTCAAGAACAAAAGAATAGATTAATTAATAATTTTAGGCAACTTATTAAGGATTCATAGAAAAGATGGAATTAGATTTAAAAAATAGCAAGAAAGATTTATTATCAAAATGTTAATTAATAGATGATATAAAACTAAATTTAGAATAGGAGAGATCCAAGCTTCAAACTTAAATTTCATAATTAAATAGAAAAATACTTAACCAAGAGGATATCATAAAAGATTTAAGCAAAGAAAATTAATTTAAATAAATGAAATCATCTTTAGATGTGATTATTTCTAATTAAAATTAATAATCTAAATAATCTGTTTAACAATTATAGTTTATTTAAGATTTATTAAAAAAGTTAAATGATATCAATTACAATAATGAATTCAAGTAACAAAAATAATTGATAGAAAATCTTATAAACGCTCAAAATTAATAATCCATTCAAAGACATAAGGAAGTTTAAGATTTTCAATCATAATTGATTTAATAGACCTAAACAAAATCAAAAGGATATTTAGATTAATAAAAAATTATTTTAACAGAAATAAACTAATAGGCTTAATAATTGGAAAACTTAAATAATATAACATCCAAAACGGAATCTTAATAATCAATAGCTGTGGAATAATAAAATTAAGAATAAAAAATGCATAAATAAATTTAAGATTAAGTTTAAAAATAATAATAGAATTAAGAGTATCAAAATTAAGATATTTAATAATCGTTTTAAAAAAGAAGATATAAAATAACTTAAAACTAAAATTCATCAAAACAATAAAATAATGAAGATCAAGCTAATATAAAAGTAACTCAAACAAATAATTCAAAATATAGAGTAAATCAAACAAATAAGTCAAATAATATTTATCCAGATTAAACTCCTCCTAGTATATTTCGTGAATAGAGCGAAAAATAACTTCCATTTGTACATAAATATTAATAAAGCGAAAGCTAATTAAATTAATTAAATTCATCAAAAATTAAAACATGTGAAGATGAATCAAAAAGTGGACTACCTGTACCTCGAGCAGATCCGATTTATAATTCATTATATATATCCTCTTATTATACCAACGATTAATAAGTTTTAAAAAAACCCTCCACTCTAACAGAATATTTAAGCTTTTCTGAAAGGAATAAGAGTTTACATGAGAACATCTACAAAAGTTAAGTAATAAATTCAACTCAAAAGACACCAAAGAATAGTTGAGAATATTTAAGATAATAAATACAATAAATATATTAAACATTTATAATAATGATAATATATAAAATTTTGATTTATTTATTAGTTTTGAAATCAAATGGATGTAAGATAAGGGGGATATTGTAGACTCGAAAATCTTTTCCTGCAAATAATGTAGTAGTTTCATTCAAAAAGAGTGAAACGATTAGTAATAAATAAGGAGAATTTGAATTAGAGATAGATAATAATACAGTAGAAGGAGAGTTAAGTTTTAATTTAGCAGATTAATATAAAATGTAAATGAATATAAAGAGATCTGATTGTCCTATAGATTTAGGGATAATAATATTAGACAATAAAAAGAGTGTGAAAACTAGTATTACAGGTTGTATAATAAAAAGTGATAATTTATAAGCAGTTTCTGATAGTAGTATAAAAATAATATATGATTAACCAACATTATTAGATATATAGGAAGTGAAGACAGGAGAGGATGGATGTTTTTTAGCTTAAAATAAGTTAATGAAATTGTTAATATATTAAGCATCAATATCAATTAATTTATAGGGTTATTTATCTTAATAATTAATTGTTTAATTATTTGATCAATATATTGCAGATATTGGATAGATAGAATTGAAACCAAATTACTATGTTGTTAATTTATAAATAAATATCAATAGGAATTGTTAATAAAATGAAACAAAGATATAGAATAAGAATGCAGTATAGATATCTTTTTCATGTGGAATAGAATACAAGGATTAATTTATGACATAGAAGGATATTAATTAGATAAAATTAGATTAAGCATTCAAAGTTGGATATTAGTACACTTGTGGTATAATGGCAATGAATCCAAATTGTGGAATATTGTATTCAATAATAAAAGTAAAAGAGGAAGCAAATATAACAACAGATATGGGTTTCAGTCCTTAAGAAATAAAAAAGAAAAAGGTTTTATCAAGTACAAAATTCACAGGGAGAGTATTAGAGATGGAAAGTTTATCATGTATAGATAGAGTTATGGATGCAATATCTGATGTTAAGATTTTATATTATATCGAATTCACTTAGAAATAATTGATAAATTCAACATTGAGTGATAAGGATGGATATTTTAATTTATATGCTGAGAATCCATTGATAAATGGATAATTTAATGGAATATTTATATTTTAGAAGGATGGATATTTATCTAATGAAGTAGATATAACTTATAATACAATGAATAAAGATTAAGAATATTAGATAGGAACAATAGAATTAATAAATATGAATGGATTAAAGGAATGTTGATGATTTATTATTATGAATTATTTATAATTTGTTCATTTTATTTTTTTAGCATCTTTTTCCCAACTAGGAACATATCTTACAGGAAATCTAGATGAAGAATGATTAGTTTAAAATATTCTATCACATACACCCCAAATTCCATAATTACAGGTAACATAGAAATGATGATTAATGTGTCCAAATGGATCCCATCTTCCATCATGAGCAGCTTAAGCATAAACAGCAGTTAAAAAACCAAAAAAACTATTATATATAAATTATATCTATTACTGATGCCAAACAGGTGGAATTGGATAGAATAAACATGGGAAGAAATGTCCTAATGGACCTTATACTATAGCTTCTATTGGATGAACTGCATCTTATGCAAATGCAGTTGGTTCAATGAATTCATGATGTTATTTATGAATATACTTCCAAAAGAATGGTTGATGAAGAATTATATGTGTAACATAGAAGTAGAAATCAAATCCAATTGAATATCTAATTATTATAAAATTAATATACACAAAAAGTCCTATTAACCATTCTTTCAATCCAAAATCATGTGTTTCATAATAACCATAATAAGGTGTTAATGGTTCAATTTTCCACATAAATATTGTTGCAGATAACAATACCCAAAATAAAGCTTATACTCCTCTACGTATTTCAAGTTTCATGTTCTTCATTCTAAATGCAGATTTTGGTATTGGATTTGTGAATTCCAAAGCTGCACCTGTTGCTAAATATGAAAAGTAATAGAAAAGTCTATATCCATATATACTTCTAAATACCCTACATACAGATTAGCCCATAAAAAGTCTTCAAAAGTATCTATCACCAATACTCGAGTTTTTGTATTTTGAGGTAGTTTCAAACCTGGTAACATAGCAGCATATTCATGTATATTGAATGCATAGCAAGTAGTTATTAGTAAAGAAATGAAGGAAATTTGAAATAAAACTTTCATTAAAATAAATATTGCACATATTAAATCATAAATCAGTTTTTGTATCATCAGCATCATCTTCACTATCTTTATTTTCATCTTTCTTCTTTTAAGCTTCTTGAATGATTGGGTCACATACTCTAAAATTTAGGAATAATTATATTACTTTTATAAATCTTTTAATTCTCCTTCATAATCTTCCTTATCATAATTGGCTTCATCTTTTCTCATCCAATCTTCACTCTTTTGAACAGCATCTTTCAAAGTTTATTTTTATTCTTCAGTCAAATGTTTAGCTAATTTTTTCTAAAATATATAATTATAAAATATACCTCATCTTCAATTTGATTTTTGATAGAATAAATATAAGAATCCAAACTATTTTTGGCATCAATTTTTTCTTTAGCAATTTTGTCTTCTTCAGCAAATTATTCAGCTTCCTTAATCATTCTATCGATTTCTTCTTTAGTTAATTTATTATCAGAAGTGATTTGAATTTGATTCTTCTTTCCAGTTGATTATTCAGATGCAGAGACAGATAAGATACCATCTTCATCAATTTCAAAAGTGACTTCAATTTAAGGTTATCCTTTAGGCATCTTTGGAATATCAGTTAAATCAAATTAACCCAATTTATGATTATCTTTAACCAAAGGTCTTTCTCCTTCAAAAACAGTGATAGTAACAGTAGTTTAATTATCAACATAAGTAGTAAACACTTATGATTTCTTAGTTGGAATAAAAGAACCCTTAGGAATGATCTTATTCATGACTCCTCCAACAGTTTCAATACCCAAACTCAATGGTGTTGCATCAATAACAACAATACCATCAGTAGAATCAGATTTTTCACCACAAATCAAACCTCCTTAAATTGCAGCACCATAACAAATAGCTTCATCTGGATTGATACCTGTATTTGGATCCTTTCCTTCGAAGAATTCTTTTACAAGCTATCTTACCTTTGGAATACGAGATGAACCACCAACTAAAACTATTTCATCTATTTAACTCTTCTTCAATCCTGAATCATTCAATGCTGTCTACATTGGTTCTATTGTCTTTTTGAATAAATCACTATTCAACTCTTCGAATTTAGCTCTAGTCAATACTTCACTAAAATCTAATCCTTCAACTAAATCTTCGATTTCTACTTTTGCTTCTTAAGCTGCAGACAATCTTCTCTTAGCCTTCTCACATTCTCTCTTTAACTTTTAAATAGCTCTCTTATCTCCTGATACATCCTTTCCGTACTTCTTTTAAACTAACTTTATGAAGTGATCAATCAATCNTAACATAGCAGCATATTCATGTATATTGAATGCATAGCAAGTAGTTATTAGTAAAGAAATGAAGGAAATTTGAAATAAAACTTTCATTAAAATAAATATTGCACATATTAAATCATAAATCAGTTTTTGTATCATCAGCATCATCTTCACTATCTTTATTTTCATCTTTCTTCTTTTAAGCTTCTTGAATGATTGGGTCACATACTCTAAAATTTAGGAATAATTATATTACTTTTATAAATCTTTTAATTCTCCTTCATAATCTTCCTTATCATAATTGGCTTCATCTTTTCTCATCCAATCTTCACTCTTTTGAACAGCATCTTTCAAAGTTTATTTTTATTCTTCAGTCAAATGTTTAGCTAATTTTTTCTAAAATATATAATTATAAAATATACCTCATCTTCAATTTGATTTTTGATAGAATAAATATAAGAATCCAAACTATTTTTGGCATCAATTTTTTCTTTAGCAATTTTGTCTTCTTCAGCAAATTATTCAGCTTCCTTAATCATTCTATCGATTTCTTCTTTAGTTAATTTATTATCAGAAGTGATTTGAATTTGATTCTTCTTTCCAGTTGATTATTCAGATGCAGAGACAGATAAGATACCATCTTCATCAATTTCAAAAGTGACTTCAATTTAAGGTTATCCTTTAGGCATCTTTGGAATATCAGTTAAATCAAATTAACCCAATTTATGATTATCTTTAACCAAAGGTCTTTCTCCTTCAAAAACAGTGATAGTAACAGTAGTTTAATTATCAACATAAGTAGTAAACACTTATGATTTCTTAGTTGGAATAAAAGAACCCTTAGGAATGATCTTATTCATGACTCCTCCAACAGTTTCAATACCCAAACTCAATGGTGTTGCATCAATAACAACAATACCATCAGTAGAATCAGATTTTTCACCACAAATCAAACCTCCTTAAATTGCAGCACCATAACAAATAGCTTCATCTGGATTGATACCTGTATTTGGATCCTTTCCTTCGAAGAATTCTTTTACAAGCTATCTTACCTTTGGAATACGAGATGAACCACCAACTAAAACTATTTCATCTATTTAACTCTTCTTCAATCCTGAATCATTCAATGCTGTCTACATTGGTTCTATTGTCTTTTTGAATAAATCACTATTCAACTCTTCGAATTTAGCTCTAGTCAATACTTCACTAAAATCTAATCCTTCAACTAAATCTTCGATTTCTACTTTTGCTTCTTAAGCTGCAGACAATCTTCTCTTAGCCTTCTCACATTCTCTCTTTAACTTTTAAATAGCTCTCTTATCTCCTGATACATCCTTTCCGTACTTCTTTTAAACTAACTTTATGAAGTGATCAATCAATCTTTAATCAAAATCTTCACCTCCCAAATGTGTATCTCCTGATGTTGAAATTACTTCAAACACTTGATTATCAATTGTTAAAATTGAAACATCAAAAGTACCACCTCCCAAATCAAAAACTAAAATATTTGATTCAACTTCTTTTGAATCCAAACCATAAGCTATTGCTGCAGCTGTTGGTTCATTCAAAATTCTTACTACATTCAAACCTGCAATATTTCCTGCATCTTTTGTAGCTTATCTTTGAGCATCATTAAAATATGCTGGTACTGTCACAACTGCATTAATAACATTTTGACCCAAATAACCCTCAGCAATTTCTTTCATCTTAGACAAGACCATAGCACTCACTTCTTCAGGAGCAAATACTTTGGATTATGTTCCCTTTTCTACTTAGATGTAAGGCTTTCCATCTCTATCAATAATTTCAAATGGTAAGAACTTCTTATCATATTGAATGGTTGAATCTGAAAATCTTAGAAATTCATAATGATATATACTTTCTTCCAATCAATCTCTTAACGTCATAAAGAGTTCTGCTTGGGTTGGTTGTAGCTTAATTCTTTGCAGCTTCACCAATCAATCTTTCTTAATCAGTGAATGAAACAACTGATGGTGTGATTCTATTTCCCAATTCATTTGGAATAATCTCTACATGTCCTTATCTAAAAACTCCCACACATGAGTAAGTTGTACCCAAGTCAATACCAATAACTGGGCATTCAACTTTGCTTTCACAAAATGATACAGAAACAAGGAGAAAAGCAAGTAACAAATTTTTCATAATATTTTATTTCTAAATGATGTGTATAATCAATTTATATAGAAAGAGAATTCTTCTAGAAATTCTTTAACGTGTAATTAATTAATTTAATTTATTCTTTTGGAATTAATAATTATTAAATCAATTCCCTTTCTTCTTATCCTTATACATATCACTATAAAATCCTAACACTCTCACACTTATTTAAAATGATCCATCTGCTTCTAATTAGACTTTCTTCTATTTTTTCATATTCCAGATTGAGATTTATTATTAGATCATTTACAAATAGTATTCATATCCCTTTTGCTAACCATAAACATGAAACCCAAGAGCAAAGACAACTACTATTTAACTCAAATATTCACTCTTTCTACAAATTAGAATTTTAATATATATTCTAATGGAAGTGGAAATCTCTGTTTAGTTAGAAAAAGGAATGATTAATACAATACATATATTCATATATCAATATTGAAGTATATACTTATAATAATAGTTCCCAAGATACCGAGAAAACTTGCTATCAATTGAATAGCTAAACGATATGTCATAGCTATTCCCAATACAGTAAATGGTCTATTTTCTTCCTCATAACATAGATCTGAATAAGCTTAATCAATAGCATTCAAAACATATTATGAATAAAAGAAAAACCAATTGTTATTTTAATTTCCGAATTGTATTCTGTCCAATATAGCTTTTAATGATTTAAACATAAAATCTTAGGGTTAAACATGAAACTCTTTTTTTATGAATGATTGCGTTGATAGTTATTGATATGTAAACATATTCTTCTTTAACATAGTCTAATGAATTTTAAAATGTTTATTAATTCGTGCTCCCTAAAATACAACAAGAATAGATAAAAACATAATAGTTAACACATCATAGCTTATCAATATAAATAGGGAGATCTTACTACCATCACTTAAAGAGTAACAACTTATTACATCAAATATATTCAAAATAGCAAAGAGAACCAAAACTAATATAATTTCTAAGCAAAATGAAATGATTGCATTTTCTCTCTAATAATACTATAATCCATAATCCAAGAGAACTTTTCTTAAATTCTACCATGCAAACAAGGATTAGACACATAAGAAATTTAAAGTGGGAAATATTTTGGTTTCATCATATTCTTCCACTTGTTAAGCAGATATTAGATGTGATAGTTAATTCAAACTAAATACTTTTCTTTATAAGTCTCTAAAAGTTATCAAAATGATGGATATTACAACAAAATACCCAATAGTATTAAGAACAGTAATAGCTATAAACATAGCAATCTATATTGAAGTTGCTTTCTAAAAGAAGGAATAGGTGACTGTGATGAACAGTCGAATAATAGTGAAAATAGATGCTACTGCTATGTAATTTTATAAGGGTGATTATTCGTTATAATATTAAATGATTTCTATAGCCATTTTAATTCCATTTCCGGCATACTTACCTTCCACCTTCAAATTCTCAAATTTATGAGAAATTTTGTCTCTTCTTTTTTCATTTGGTTAAACAATAAAGAAAAATAAGAATAATCCAGGTTCAATGTGTAATCTCCTTACAGATTATTCTAATTCAAATTAAATTAATTCTGGACTCTATTTACACCATTGAAATGGATTAATTTAATTTTCTAATTTATTCAATATAAGTTCAAGAGGGAATTTTTCTAATAATTCAATCTTTTAAGGATGATAGAAAGCTAACATAATATTTTGAAGAACTATTTCTGAAAAGATTTGGATTACATAATAAAGTAACACTATTTTTAATCAGTATATATACATTAGATTTAAAATTGATTTATTTAATGGTATATAAAACCAAAAGCCAAAATCAAGTCTAAAAAATATCTTATATATGTGAATAGACACATCCATTTAAATCCAATTAACTATAAGTTATAGAGTAATTATTTATGAGTCCAAATAAAAATAGGAATAACTAAAGGTCCAATAATGGTAAATATTAATGTAAAGATAGTATATTTAATAAATGAATTGATCTAAAAATGGACTTCATGAGGTTTACTCTTATATTTTGGATTATTTGGATCAAATTATGAGATATCTAAATTATCTTCTTTGAAAATATCATTCGTCAATGAAGTCTTTAGAATGACAGGATCATTTTGGATTTTAGAACTTGATTAAATCATTTTGTTTTAAATATCTTATATAATGGAACTATGAGTATATAAAGAAGGAGCCATACTAATTTACTCATTAATAAGTTCTTCTGGTATTTATTCTTCCAACATTTTAATTTTAATATTATTATTATAATCATTTAGTAATTTATAAGATAAAATTTAATCCCGAGGTTCCGATCAATCCTAATGCACTCAAACAAACTTATAAAAGTAATTGATAAGTCATTGCTATTCCCATCACAGTATAAGGCTAAGATTTCTCTTAATGTCCCAAATCATCAAACTGAATTCAAATTATACTTTACCACATATTGTATTGAATGAATGCAAAATATTGAATAATTTAATAGGGAATCTTCTCTAATGATCACTTCAGCATAGGCAGTATCTAATAATCTCAAAAGAGCCTTTAATTTAATTAATTCATACATTAAATACAGGATCTTCTGCCTTGAATGTGTAATCCAAAGGCTTAAATACTTAATAGGCCAATTATTAAATTATAAAGAGATTCTTTCTTAATAATCCTCTGTGAATTGACCAATGTGCATTGATTCTTGCACCCTATAATACTAAAGCAATTGAAAATATAGCTATTATAGAGAAATCTACTGTCTATTACAAAATGGTATTTATAGGGATAAGTTGCATGTAAAAGAGAAGTGTCATTACACCCATCATTATTGTATTTATTATCATTATGAACGATAATATGAATGTTTGTCTTCTTGTAAATTGTAATCCATAATCTATCAAGATCTTTCTCAAATTTACCCAAGAATATATTGATACTGTACATAATAAATTTATAGTAGGAAAGATCTTTGATTCCTAATATGTTTCAACTTTCTCAGCTGAAATCAAATGAGAAAGTTGAGTCATTGAATAAACCTTTCTCCTTAAATCTCTGTAAGTCAACATCATCAATGAAATTAATGTGCTGAAATATAAAAAAGAAAATATCGACATCTAAACTACTATTCCAGTGCTCTTTACTGATTCATCACAAAGTTTCATTATCTTTATATACAATCCTACACGAATTAAACCTAAAATTATTCCCAACTTTATTCCAAATTTATAATCATATTTTTTGTTGAATTCATTTATTATCTCTTTAGCCATCAAAAATCCATCCGCTGCTATTTCTTCAATCGAAATCTTATTTCTTAAATCCTATTCCTCTACTTATATTCGTTTTAATCTCTCAGAATTTGGAGCAACCATAAAATATAATTGAAATATTGAATTTTCCACCTACGATCTTTTTAATGATTATTCAAGTTCTTTGCTTATTGTTGATGGATGTTACTATGCCCAATCATAAGGATTTATACTCTAATCACAAGAATCACCAACTACACATATATCAAAATTTTCTATAAGAGCCAATCTGGATGGATGAAAAAATGCAAATTTTATTGCACATGTAACATTCTCAGACATGTACAAAATAGTAAAGAAACCAATTTCATAATGCATAATTTTTTTTTCTTCATCATCAGTGTAATATATGAATGTTATAATTAGGATGTAGTTTGTTATCCATCGAAAATAGTTATACCATACTCCACCCCAATTACCATAGACTCTGAAATTGCTCATAAAACTTAACCAATCTTTGTTAAGAAATCCGTAAACAAGAATTAAGGGTCCAATAATGGTAAATACGATTCTCAATATTAAATATTTGACAAAAACTTTGAGCCTAAAATGAACTTCATGAGGTTAAGTCTAATAGAGTGTTTATTACGTGATACCCTGTATCGAATAGAGGAAGTATCTAAATCACTCATCCTGGATTTTCCAAAATCTTCTCTAAAACAGGCAGATTATCCTATTTATTTTTTACAGAAAGCATCTCTGTCAGATTGACTTGGTGTTGCACCTAAATGGGTTTCATGTTTTTCAATATTTTCAGATTGACTTATCTATAATGGTTAGAGAATTTTAAAAACATGATTTTGTGAGACAATTTTATCTTGAATAATAGAGATCCAAGATTTTTAGGGAATTTAAACTCTAACTTCTTATTTATCAATAGGTTAGATTTCATCTGCAATATGTTCTTCAAACATGTATATTGATTATAAATATTATAAAATAATAAAGTAAAAGAATATAAAATTAATTATATATATTTACGAATAATTATTCTCTAGTTTAGATAATTTTGAATAGGAATAAAATATAAATAGAGTACTAAAAATAGTGATAAGTGATTTTTTCTGACAAGGAAAAAGTTGGTAATTTAAATTGGAATAAAATATAATATAGAGTGCATTATTAAGATAAGTAAAAATGGGTCTTTCATTTTCAAAATTATTTGAATAGTGGTTTGGAAAGAAGGAAATGAGAATATTAATGTTGGGTTTAGATGCAGCAGGTAAAACAACAATATTATACAAATTGAAATTGGGAGAAGTGGTTAGTTCAGTCCCAACAATAGGATTTAATGTAGAGACAGTTGAATATAAGAATATAAAATTTACAGTATGGGATGTAGGAGGTTAAGATAAAATAAGATTATTATGGAGACATTATTACTAAAATACATAAGGTCTAATTNCAAGAATCACCAACTACACATATATCAAAATTTTCTATAAGAGCCAATCTGGATGGATGAAAAAATGCAAATTTTATTGCACATGTAACATTCTCAGACATGTACAAAATAGTAAAGAAACCAATTTCATAATGCATAATTTTTTTTTCTTCATCATCAGTGTAATATATGAATGTTATAATTAGGATGTAGTTTGTTATCCATCGAAAATAGTTATACCATACTCCACCCCAATTACCATAGACTCTGAAATTGCTCATAAAACTTAACCAATCTTTGTTAAGAAATCCGTAAACAAGAATTAAGGGTCCAATAATGGTAAATACGATTCTCAATATTAAATATTTGACAAAAACTTTGAGCCTAAAATGAACTTCATGAGGTTAAGTCTAATAGAGTGTTTATTACGTGATACCCTGTATCGAATAGAGGAAGTATCTAAATCACTCATCCTGGATTTTCCAAAATCTTCTCTAAAACAGGCAGATTATCCTATTTATTTTTTACAGAAAGCATCTCTGTCAGATTGACTTGGTGTTGCACCTAAATGGGTTTCATGTTTTTCAATATTTTCAGATTGACTTATCTATAATGGTTAGAGAATTTTAAAAACATGATTTTGTGAGACAATTTTATCTTGAATAATAGAGATCCAAGATTTTTAGGGAATTTAAACTCTAACTTCTTATTTATCAATAGGTTAGATTTCATCTGCAATATGTTCTTCAAACATGTATATTGATTATAAATATTATAAAATAATAAAGTAAAAGAATATAAAATTAATTATATATATTTACGAATAATTATTCTCTAGTTTAGATAATTTTGAATAGGAATAAAATATAAATAGAGTACTAAAAATAGTGATAAGTGATTTTTTCTGACAAGGAAAAAGTTGGTAATTTAAATTGGAATAAAATATAATATAGAGTGCATTATTAAGATAAGTAAAAATGGGTCTTTCATTTTCAAAATTATTTGAATAGTGGTTTGGAAAGAAGGAAATGAGAATATTAATGTTGGGTTTAGATGCAGCAGGTAAAACAACAATATTATACAAATTGAAATTGGGAGAAGTGGTTAGTTCAGTCCCAACAATAGGATTTAATGTAGAGACAGTTGAATATAAGAATATAAAATTTACAGTATGGGATGTAGGAGGTTAAGATAAAATAAGATTATTATGGAGACATTATTACTAAAATACATAAGGTCTAATTTTTGTAGTGGATTCATCAGATAAAGAGAGAGTAGATGTAGCTAGAGAAGAATTGATGAGAATGTTAGGTGAAGATGAACTTAGAGATGCTGTTTTATTAGTATTTGCTAATAAATAAGATATGGGTGTAATGACAGTACCAGAAATAACAGAGAAATTAGGATTACATACTCTTAGAAGAGAATGGTATATTTAAGGTACTTGTGCACTTACAGGAGATGGATTATATGATGGTTTAGATTGGTTAGCTAAAACAGTTGGAAAGAAGAAATGAATTATTATAAGAACTTTTATTTTTAAAACATTTATTAACATTTATTAAAATATTTTAAAATGATGTTATCAATTTAAATGATAATTAATTATTATTTGTAATGGATCAACCCTTGATTCCTGAATAAGGTCCATTTTAAGGAACAACTCTACATTTCTAAAGACACATCTTCTATTGGAAAAGATGGACTTATTTTTAATTCTTTTTTTTAATCCTCTCTACTTTACTTGGAGTTTGTTATATTTCAGAAAATAAATATTAAATCAAAGAAGATTACACACCTATTATTGTAGGAACACTAAACTTAATTCAAATTATTGTTTATGTTGTGTGGAGATGTACTCTAAAATAAAAAGTATTTTTATATTTTTGACCATCAGAATGACTTTATTAAGTTATCAGAATATTTAGATTCCTAATAGACTGTTGATTATGAATGGCGTGATGAATTTGATATGCATTATTGTAAAATATTCTCTCTTATTAGAGATTACAGATACACTATTTACTCAATCGATATTCAAATGCAATTGAAATTGGGATATCTCTTTCGAATTTATGTAATCCATACCACTATCTATTAGATGTACAAATCTTATTGTTATGCCATCCCAATTTTACTTTAGATCATAGCCATCATCCTTATTATTTATTTCTTTGATTATACACACATTGATCAATGGCAATATTTCACATTTCTTGCCATAACCTTTCTCGTTGTAGGTTTTGATATCTTTGCATTAATTACTTACCCCTTTTATTATATTCCTAAATATATTCTTACTTTTTGCAGAAGAAAAAAACATATCAAACCATACAATCCTAGTACATTTGATTAGTCAAATTCTTAATGTGCCATTTGTCTTATAGAATATCAAAAAGGTGATGTTTTATACATACTCCCTTGCAATTCTAAACATTTCTTCCATCAATGGTGTATTCTAAATTGGAAACAATATCAATCAATTTGCCCTTTTTGTAGAGCAGGTTTTGAATATTTGGAATGATTAATGATGATATCTACATCATTACTTATTTAAAGTCAACATTTATTCTATATGTATTTATTTTTTTTATTCTAATTTTAAATAGTCAGCAAAAAAAAACACAAAAATTTATATTAAATCATTAACCTTTTTTATTCTATCTTTATAAAATTGATTTAAACTCATCATTTGTCAAATTCGATTTCGATTTATTACTAGAAATACAACTACCATTACTCGTCATTACTTCACATGACAATACACTTACATTCTATATAATATGTCTCTACTTCAAAGGAGTCTTAGAACTTAATTAACTTCCCATCATTTTACTTCCAGGATTCGATTACATCACCCCTAATATTTAATCTACATAATGTGATTTTTATTCAGAATTCAACTTCTCAAAATTAGGTATCATCAAATTCAAAAAAGATGTAAATATTATTCCATTTATCTCATCAAATTATTTCTGATTCATATATTTGCTATAATTGTATCTCCCTTTTGCTATTGATTTACATTATGTCTAAAAATTGTAACATTATGCCATCAATTACTTTATATTAGTTTTCCTTTATTAAATCCTCTAATATCACATACATCTTACTTTCCTCAAATATTTATGTACATGTCCTTCCAAAAATAATACTATCTATTTCAATCTGTAAAAATTGCAAACATATTTTCTACTCAAGTATCCTCGATAACATTTCTATATGTAAATACTACTTCTTATCATTCTCTTTGTTGGTTGAATTGATGATTGTGTATTTCGAGTTGATTTCTTAGATTTCTATGGTTTATAGCAAAACCCATATTCATTATTATGATCTATTTCTTATATACTACATTATACCTAAAGATGAAAAATAATTTAATCTTCTTATTTATTTTACAGCTTGTCTTGCTAGAAATCCTCTGAATGTTTTTTGGATTACTGTTGCTGCTTCATTTAACAATTCCATTTTTAAATTTGAATATTTATATAATTGTGAATAATATTTATCTCATTTGAACAGATCAAATGGAGTAGGCTATGATTAAGGCAATGGCTAACTATATTATTGAACTTAAGGAAATGCTGTATAAGCTAAATTACCAACTATTGGTTATTGATTCCCATAAAGATTTAATATATTTAAATTCTACTATTATTGTGTTACTTATTAAAATCCTTATCCAAAAGATTATTAATTCTAAAATCCTTATTATTAAGGAGGAACTTATCCTTATTATCCTACTTAATTAAATGAACTAAAAATTAAATAAATAAATTATTTACTCAAATGCCGATTAAACTTAATTTGTTTATTAAAATATATTTTATTATTATTATTATTATTATTATTATTAAGTCTATTAAGTCTATTATTAATTCCAACCATTACCAAAAGCATCAAATAAATTTGTTTGTTAAGTTGTTTAAATATTTTATTATTATTATTATTATGGTTATTATTATTATTATTATTATTATTATTGTTATTATTATTATGGTTATTATTAATTAAAAAAAGGATCAAATTGTTATGTCATAACTTATTTTTATTATTCTTATTATTATGGTACATCATCATCTAAATTTAACAAATCAACTTCTATAAATTTGAAATAATACTTTTTTATTATTAAGTAGTTTAAGCAGTTGTACCTGATGAAAATCCAGAAGCAGAGAATGAATCTCCAAATGGATTAACAGTTGTCTTAGAAACCTAACCAAATTATTCAAATTCTTCAAATACTCCTGGTTGTCCAAATGTAGTTGATGTTCTAGTATAAAATAAATAATATGACTTAATAGATTATGTAGTAATTGGTTTTGATTAGATAGGATTAGCATCTTTAGGATTTTCAAATTTAATATTTAAATTAATCTTCCTAAAAGAATGATTTTAATAATGTACTATGAATTGTTTTAAAAGTTATTATTGGAAAATTGAGTATTAAAATTTGGAGGGTCAGAATAAAAGTTATCTGTTTTATTATTGGTGTTGAGTTTCTCTTCATAGACAAACTCATTCTATGTTTTTTCTAATAGTTTGATACACACATATTACATTAAGTATATAGATGTGAGAACACTTTATTATTAATTCTCAATTCAAATGCATCACCTTGTTAAATAACATTTAATGCAAATCCTTCAAGTGTAAAGGGATACTGAAATGAAGAAGTAAGCATCCTGATTAATATAGATTCGAATTTACATGCTTTCATGAAGTACTCGATTATCTAATACTAATCTTCGTTTCCCACTTAGATATGAGAATTCTAATTCTAACATGTGTTGTTTCTCTTCCAACATAAATGTCCACTTATACTTCTTCTTTGATCTACAAATGATTTCATTATTTATTACGATTTGAAATACCGTCCCATATCTTCGACCTCATAATTCACAGCCTAAATACTCATTTGATTTATTTTTATATATATATATTAATGATATCACTATTTCTCCAATTACTAAGTTAACTCATCTATTCTACATTTTAATTTCACCACTTACAAACCATACATCTATAACATCTTTCCAGAATCACTCCCCTATAATTTAAATTTTTATATATATACATTCTATTTTTATATGATTCTCTTTAATTCTTCATTCTCCATTTTTAACAATTTTAATTCTGAATTTGCTGCCTACTCTATCTTTGGTAAAAAACCACTACAATTACCCTTCCTTTAAATTTCCTATTTCAATTCAGCATTCTCTGCTTCCAAAGATTATAGCTACCTTCTCATTGCTCCTAACTTCTATAACAATTCCTAATTGTCTTTCTAAGCCTATTCCAATATTTAACGAGGATTACTAGCTTTAGGCTCCACTGATTTCCTCTTACTATATTTCTTTTAATTTCAAAAATACTCTTGCTTCTTTTAAACTTGTTATGTTTGCGAAAATTATTATTATGATCTCTATTACACTTATACTCTTGTTGCCTAATTAACTTGCTTTTTCACCAAATTTTACTACATTTTCTCATTCAACTCTTTTAAACTTTATGGCTATTTCCCACTCTAAGTCACCCCTGATTAAGCTCTTGAATTCTGTTATATAGGTTTTTCCCTCACAAAACATTAACTTGTATTTAATCGCTATTCAAAATCTTCAATATCCATCTAAGACACCAAATCCTAGTCATCTGAAAACTCCTCCTTGTTCTATTCATCGATTAACTACTATAACTCGTCTTTTCTCTAATATTATTTATAGATTACGATCCATTCAAAACTTCTTTTTTTTATTTAGAATTATTATAACAATATTATAATAACTTATAATTGATTTCACAAGACAACTAATTATCATTACTATTTTACTATCATTATTCATATATATTTGAATATTTCAAATCAATAATTTTAAAACTATTTCCCTATTATTATTGTATTAAAGATGTCTTAACTATGATGTTTTTATCTATTCTTGTTCTATTTTAGAGATCACCAATAAATTAACATTTTAAAATCCATTAAACTATGTTAAAGTAGAATATTTCTACATATCAATAACTATCAACATATTTACATACAAAATAATTCATATGATAATAATATATTTTAAACATTTAAATTAGTTATCATAAATTAATCATAGATAAGCATATTTTATAATATTTATATCATATCACAATTACCTCAAAATTGTAAAGATAATTTACCTGAAAAGAGTAAAAGCACATTTTAGTGTAACTTCGATCTTTAAGTATTAAACTCTTAGTAAGTCTAAGAAATCTTAAATTCTTAAAAGTATTAAAATGATATATTGTTGAAAAGTATTCTTATTAAATAGAATGACGCATCCAAACATTGTAAATTGAACTTAAGAGATAATGATAAAGATGATATCTATAAATTAAATATATTGATAATTTAAGATATGTATATAAATAAAGAAATTTTTTTATTTATTTTTATTGAATAATAAAATTTATTTATTTAATGAGTTCACCAAAAAAGTAATCAAGTTAAAGAGATGATCCCATTTCATGTATAATTGAGCCTTCAAAAATACTGGGAGGTCTTTATTTAGGCAACATGGAAGCTGCAAGTATTTGATAAATAAATTTAGGCGATCCATATACTCTATCTTAATATTAAATCAAGGCTATTTTAACAGTTTGTCCTTAAAGCATCCCTTCATCAACAAAAATAAAGTTAAGCTTCTATCATCAATGTATGGCTGATGATGAAGACCATTATCAAATAAGCAAACACTTTGATGAATCATATAGATTTATTGAATCATCACGAAGATCTACAAATGTTTTAGTTCATTGTTAGATGGGAATCTCAAGAAGTGCAGTCATTGTTTTAGCTTATCTAATAAAAAAAGACTTGATTGGAGCTAGAGAAGCACTTGAATATGTTGAAAAGAGAAGACCTATAATTTTCCCAAATAATGGTTTTTTGAGACAATTAGGAGCATTTGAACGATAGGTGTTCAATGATTTAATAAATGAATCAAATTGCAATAGAAGAATTGCTAGTCCTAAACAAATTGAGAGAGATTATAAATAAAGACAATATGATGATGAAATTGAAATAAAGATGTTACGATTAAGAGAATCAAATAAACAACAATAAATCAATTATAATTTCTAATACGATATACCTAAATAGAATTTGTATAGAAAGCAAGAGAATACTTTATTTTCCAATTTATACTATAAACACTATTGAAATTATATAATAATTATCATTAATTAGAATTCAACTTAGTTTTTAGTATGGCTCTTTATAAGAGTTTGTTTTATTCAGTATAAACATTGATTGGTTGAGATTTGGTTTTTTTGTGTTGACTTACAATGACAGATCTAGGAGATTGGGAAGTTTTGATTTAATTTCTGGCTTCAGTCAATATTTTTTCAAGGGCATTGTTTTTTTTGAACTTAGATTTTAATATAAATTATTAAGGTTCTAAAATATTTATGTATTTACTGAACAGTATTTTTGGACTTTATTTTCTTGAGCAACTTAGAGTGATTGTTTATTTAGTATCAAATACTTATTCAAGTGAAGGCTATCTAGTAAGAGGTATATTATCTTGGATTGTACTGAATTGAAATTGAAAATGAATACCTGGGAGTTTATTAAACAAGGTTCTATTCAGCAATTTTGAAATCTTTAACTTTTTTCATAAACTAACTATAATTATGATTTAAATTGGGTCCACTCTTTGAAAATAAGTTACGAGATGAACCTTGGGATGGTAGATTTGATTTTTCTAAACATTCTTAATAGAATAGTGATTACTTAAATTGTGTATTATCACATTAGCTAATCTTTATTTTTTATGTTCTGCAAATTCAGATACTATATCATGAAATAATTGATATTTATGAGATCTGAAACCACATAGTTTTGAATAAGTTGATTGACATCTAAGTTTTTTTGGTAATTAATCATAGTCAGTGGGATATTCAAAGGAATAATTCTTATGTTCATAGGATTTTTGTAAATCCTTTGTCTTTGTTATAGGCTATGTAAATTTGTTAGACTCTGTTTTCAATTTTCGATTAATTACATATGATGAAAACATAATTAATTATAAAATACATTTTTGTTTTTACTTTTTTAAAATCATTTTTTTTCAATTTATTTTCAATTTAAAAAAGGTTTAATAGATAAAAAAAGTCAAAATAATTAAAACAATTTATTTGTAATACTGGTTCTTCTGGATTTTTGAATGAGATTATATCTATACTCTTCAAATAGATGTTGATTATCTTTGATCAAATGTTGATTAACTTTGATAATTTGATGATTCTCTTCATCTTCTATAAGAATCTATGATTTATCAAAATTATCTTTAGAATTTGGTAAGAAAGGAGCTTTGAGTTTTTTAGATGCAAGTAAATCAAAAGGGAAATTTTTAAACCAAGGATGTTTTTTAGGTTGTATTAATCTATGTGATGGTTATAGTTAAAGAAGTTAGTTGATGAAATCATTAGCTTCAACTGAAAAATCATTAAGAGAAATTTAAATTTGTTTAATAAGCATTTAATCTCTAATTTCTTTTCGAGTTCCATGATAAGGACGTTTACCTGTTAAACATTCATAAGTAATAACACCAAGAGCAAAATAATCAGCAGGAATACCATGATCTTAATGAAAAAGTACCTCTGGAGACATATATCCAGGAGTACCGCTAGTTTCAAAATTTTAAGGAAATTATGGATGTTTTTTAATTGCTACTCCTAAATCAGTGACTCTTAGATAACCATGATTATCAAAGATGAGATTCTCAGGTTTGATATCTCTATGTATAATTTTACAATTGTGTAGATATTCTAAAGCAAGTATAATGCATGCTACAAAAAACTCTATTTAAATTAATTAAAATAATACTCGTTTATTATTCTGAAAATTTTCTTTGTTTTCCTAGATGATATCTTAAATCTCCTCCACTCAAATAATCAAGGACGAGATAAAGATTTTGCATATCTTAAAAAGCCGAATATGCATTGACTATGAATGGATGACGCAATTCAGTTAAAAATTTTAATTCACACATAATGCTTGGAACACTTTGTTTTAAGAGTACTAATGCTTTGTTAATCTCTTTCATTGCATAGATTTGTTATTTATGTATGACTTTCCATACTCTGCCAAATCCTCCTACTCCTATTATACATTAGAGTTGGTATTAATTTTTGATTTTATCTTAAGAATAATCATTCTGTTTCGAATGACTTGCAGATTAATTGGAATTTTTTCGATTGCATGAACGATGTATATTGTGTAAAAATAGTTGAATATTGTAGTCATTGTTTATGCTACGATATGGTGATGAGAATCTTCTGGCATTGATTTTCAACTTGAGATCTGTCATTTAGTGACGTAAGGTGTTGGAAAGACAATTAAAATTAAATTAATATTAAAGAAAAAAGGAAGATGTTTTTAGTATAATAAAATCAGTGTAGTCATAAATTTATCAACAACATTATTTCTGATGTCGTGAGACATAATATCATCAGATTAAGTATTGAGAAATGTATTCAATTATATTAATAAATTTGTATTGATAAACAATTTATGGGATAATTAACAATATTATTATAAGCAGCTTACGTTAATTAATAATTTATGATATATAAATTAATACAAAGAGTTTCCTATTTCGATACCTTTGGTGCTGAAGTAAAGTTGAATTTCAGAAAAAAAGAAACTCATCAATCTCCATTTGGTGGCTTTTGTACAATCCTAATGGTAGCTGTTTTGGCTATTGTTTTTATATAAGGAGCAATCAGTCTAATAAAACAAGAAACATTCACTGTACCATTATTTAATAATCTATGGAGATCTCATCCAATAAAGTATTGAACATTGATCCTCCTTCCACTATACTTAATTACAATGATTACATGATGGCATTTTAAGTAGAGAATCCAATAATCAATGGAACTAAACAATTAATAGATTTTACCTATACATAATATGAACAAAACCTTAATGAAAATGGTACTCTGAATAAAATTGAAAAGTACTCATTACCACTTGAATAATGTACTGTAGACCATTTTCAAGACTTCAATCAATCCACTGTCTATAATGTACTTCTTATCTCATAACTCTAGAAAATACTCAAGGACTAACTCCATGGCTATTATTGTCTCCCACTTAATTATAAACTTAATCTTGAAGGCACCTATAAATCTAATACGTTTTAATATGGTAGAATTACTGCTCTACTTTGCTCCTCTAACACTTGCTATTCATCTTAGGAGATTTAGTAATTCTAACTCTAGGGCTATTTCAATAATAGTTTTAAAATCAACACTTTAATGCTCAATCGAGTATCTAATCTAAATTTATAATCAAATTATATTTCCTACATCTATTCAGATTTCTATATTTCCACCAAACTTGGACTTGAAACCAAAACAGATGTCTATCTTGAAAAATAAACTATGAAAATCGAAAACTCTGTAGTTCCAGGAATCAAGGATATCAACTATTAACATGTGTTCTCCATTGTTGAAAATAAATTAACTCCAAATGCTGTCTATACTTCCAACATTACTAAAGTTGCATCTTTCTATATAAGACTATCATAATCTGAAACGCAATATTTAAAATAATATTATCGAGTTGATGAACTCATCTCTTATGTTGGTGGCATTACTAAATTTTTAGCCACTGTTTTGGGATACTTTATACTACGATATAATGAAACTGGTTTATAAATCAAAATGGCAAATGCTTTATATTAATTTGATATGCCTGAAAAAAAAAAAGGAGAATTAGTCTTCTCCTTTTAATCTTTGGTTACTAAAATAATTGATTCTATGAAGTCAGTTGATGATGTAGTTCAAAAATTTAAACATAGTGCTCATAGAGTTATTCATATGACTAGAGTTGCAACAGCATTAAAACTACCAATCAGCTCTACATAATAATATGATTAAAAAGAATAAGACAATGTTAGTGTTCATACTCATAGAGTATAAATAATGAGTCATGATGTTCATTACGGTAATTTAAAATCAGAAAAATCTATTGATCAAACTCATGAGAATCATCATTAGCCAAATTTAGATAAAGATAAAGAGAAATTCTTAGATTAATTTATTAAATTAATTTTGGAAAGTAAAAAGAAATTATCATTTGGAGTACTTTTTATAGTTAAATAAGTTTGCGATTCATTCAAAAAGAAGAGTACCACAAATTATTAAGCAAGAATATTTGAAAAATCAAGAAAAATGATATTAACAGATATGGATATATTAGTTGTTTTGAATAAGCTCTAAGAAATAGAGAAGTTCAAATATATATTTTTAAATAAAACATAAAGGAAAGTCTTTAATTATTTACCAAAACCAGTTGTTTTTGTGGGTGAAAATCAATAGAATAGATAAGAAGTTAGACATATTGATGATCACCTGTCAGAGAATGATATGGCAAATAAAAAAAATGATATGTTAAAATTAAAGAGCAGTTCTAAGAGTTTATTAGGTGGTAGATAAACCTTTAATACAGAAAAAAAATTTAAGAGATTGTATAAAGCTTATGAAAGTTTAGCTTTGAATGAAAATAATTATAATAATGAAGATTGCTAATATTAGTAATTCTAAGATAATGTTGATTAGAATAATGAGAATACAGAATAATCATTAAATAAAAGATTATTAAAAATGGTAGAACCTACTATTTAATATAGTTTCAATTCACTTATTGAATTAGAAAAGATTTCAAGATAGAGTAAAAATAAGAAAAAGAAAGTGATAACTCCAGCTCTTAAAAATCGAATGGTACAATTAGATTCTTAGAATGAAGAAGGAGAAGAGGATAATGATAATGATAATGATATGGATTGTATAACTTTAAAAGGTTCAAAGAGGGATTAATAAACAAGACGATCACCAAATAGTTTAAGTAATTTTAATCTAAAGAAAACTCATTAAACTCTGGCAAGTAGTGGAAGACAACATTAAGAGATCAAGTTAACAAAGATTTAATCCAAATAAGACTTAATAGATATTGAAGTATTCAGTTCATGATTATATGAATAAATTTTATGATTTTGGTATATCTCGATATTATTATTTAATTTAAGAATGTACAATGATGATGAACAAAATAAGTCAAAAATTAAATCACATTTGGTGATTGATATGCAAAACCATCATGATATAATAAAGGAGAAATTAAGTGATAAGCCTAGAAAAGTATTAATTTTAAATACAGGTGGAACAATATCAATGTTTTCATCTTAAACAGGATATGTAACCAAAAAAGGTGCATTAAAAACCTTTTTAGAAAATAATCCATTCTCATGTGATATGGATTATACATATTTTAAAGCTACCGATGATTTTTTGATTACACCTTTGACTGCTTTTAATAGAAGGATTTGGTTTAAAGTAGATGAATTAGATCAATTACTTGATTCATCAAATATGAATTCAGATGATTGGGTAACTATAGCAGAAAGGATTGAAAAGGCCTATTAATAATATGATAGTTTTATAATATTACATGGAACTGATACTATGGCATATACTGCAAGTGCTTTATCATTTATGTTTTAAAATTTATCAAAAACAGTAATATTAACAGGTAGTTAAGTACCTTTATCATAACCTAGAAATGATGGATTTACAAATTTTTTAAATGCTCTAACAATAGCAGGTCATTTCACAATTCCAGAAGTATTGATATGTTTTTAAGATAAATTGTTAAGAGGTAATAGAGCATAAAAAGTGAATTCATCATCATTAGATTCATTTGATTCACCAAAATTTATTCCTTTAGGATATTTTGGAGTTAATATTAGCATTAAATGGGACATAATTTTGAAGAATCCAAATGAAGAAAATTTAAAATTAAATAAGAAATTTTGTACTAATATAAGTTTGATACGATTAAATCCATTGTTAAATCATGTAACTTTGAATGAAATATTTAAAAATGAAAAACTCAAAGGTGTAGTAATAGAAACTTATGGAGCAGGAAATATGTAAACTGAAGAGAAATTTTGTAATGAGATAGCCTAAGCAGCTAAAAGAGGAATTGCTATTGTAAATATTTCTTAATGTCATACATCTTAAGTTGAAATGATATATGAAACAGGAATCATATTTGAAAATATGGGAGTGTATTATATAATAATCATATATTAATAGTATAAGTGGAGGTGATATGACATCATAAGCAGCATTTACTAAACTTGGTTATTTATTAGGATAAACTGATAATGTTGAAAAAGTTAAGGAAGAATTCTAAAGAAATATAAGAGGTGAATTAACAGAGGCTGGAAGAACAGCTGAAACTGAACCATTTCTTATGGCTCTATCATCTGCTATTAAATAATAATAATCTAAAATAGACTTAAATAAAGATCTTGTTTTTCCTAATATCTTATGTTAAATATGTGTCCAAAAAAAGAAACTATCATCAATGAAATTATCAAAAATTGTATGTTTATATACATTTTACATAATAAGGAAATCAATTATAAAGCTTAAGATTATGATATGAGAAGTATTTTACATGTAGCTGCCAGAGAAGGTTCATTAGAAATCGCTGAACTTATACTCAGAAAATGTCCAGAAATAGTTAATAATATTGATAGATGGAAACATAGTCCTATGTATGAGGCTGTTATGACTAAGAATACTTAAATGATTCAATTACTATTGAGATTTTAAGGAAAACTTATTGCTCCCATTAAAGAATTGACTTCACTCTTGATGTCAGATATTGCCAATAATAAAATTGAAATGCTTAATCTCTTTTATGAAGCTGGAGAAAGAGATTTCACTTTATATAAAACTGAAGACAATAGAACTGTTGCTCATTTGGCTGTCTCTATTGGTAATGAATTGGCTCTTCAATTCCTATCAAATCCTGGAGTAATCTTTGATTGGCAAATTTAAGACAAGTTTGGCAGAATACCTAAAGATGAAAAACTTTTATAGAAAAGATTATTGAAAAGATGATTTATCACATAAACATTTAAGCATTTAATATTTTTATAATTTTAAGCATGTAACACTATTGTTCCTTATGCACAAAATCACTTGGAACCTTAAAAGGAGCTTTATTCCTATTTCCTGTTGGATTCAAGACTCAATACACAAATTTTTATATTCAACAAATAGTGTTAAAATTAATTACACTGCACAATCACTAACTCATACTCACTGATCATTATATCCTCTTTCATAATGAAAAATATATTTGTGAATTATGTTGGTAACTCATTCAATAAGGTTTCATTTGTTAAAAATGCAAAATCTATAACTTTGTTGCCAATTAACCAATAAAACACTGCAATTTCTGTCAAACTAATCTATGTTTATACTGTGGAACCTAACTTGAACTGTTTTCAACCACTAAAGGGATTTGTTACTCTTGTTAAAGATAAGAATTTATATCCTACAAAATCGCTTATCTTATAATGATTCTAGTTGTTGGATTACTTTTACCTTATTTAGCTCTCAATTACTTACTAACTAAATTCTTTGACCCCATTCATTAGTACAAATATTTAAAGAATAGATTCTGTATTGCACTAATCCTATTCATTCTACTTTTTCCTATTCTATTTCCATATGCAATCATTTAATTAATATTTACAGGCATATAATCCATCATTAGAAACTTTACATGATTTTAAGAATAGATAGTATTTCATTTAAATATAAAACATAGAAATTATTTATTAATATAGAATATATATAGATTTCATTCCTCTCCTCACCTGCAACCATTTGCTTCTTCCCTAATATTTTAGATACTTCTCTATTTTTTAACTTCTAAACTTTACTAAACATCTACATCAAAGATAACTGATATTTTTATTATTAAAACTTTGAGAAATTTAGAAATAATAATCTTATTTAATTATATAATAAAAGTCTTCAAATGATTAAATTGATTCACAATTTATCATAATTCATTCAAATTATCTATTCAACCAGAACTATTATATTGGCACTTCTTAATTATTAAATTTGAAATGCTATTAATATTCACCAGCAATCAACTCATCACTTCTAATCATACTACCACAAGCCATGATAAAACCAAAACTGCCTCCACTTACTATCACTGATATTGGAATCATAGATAATTTTTTATATTAAACTGCTGCCCATAATCCTGTTACTAATCCAAATCCACCTCCCACTAATGAACCCATAATGAAACCTTATTTTGCATACACTTAAACTTCTGCAAACTTTCTTTTTACTATTCTCCATTTCCTTTATCTTGCTGTCTCTGTTTAAGGTGCCTCTAATCTATCCTTCAAATTTTACTCAGAGAGTAACTTTTCATATTCGTCTTCCTTACCAGACATAAAATTAATTATTATAAATTATAATCATTTTACACTAATCACTCACTATTTAATATTGAACTATCTTACTATCATCTACATTATAAACAAATCATCTACTTACACTTTTTTAAACTTTTACTTTCCTTCTTAATCTTTATCTTTCATCTTTCTTATCTATCAAATTTATATATAGATTATATTTAAATATCCTTTGCTCAATATTTATATATAAATCTTTTGAGTTAATTAAGTTTAAGATCACTCTAACATATTCTAGATATTCATAAGAATTAATTCCATTCCAAATATAATAAATCATCTAATTATAAACAAGTTCTGCTACTTTAAAACTCCCAGGATATTCTTTAATTTTTCTAGGAGAAACCACTTAATATATAGTATTTTTAGCATTAACACTTTTTACTCTTTTCAATAGATTAAAATATCTAGCTTTATTAAGAAGATTTAATATTTTTACATTTTTCACTTTTCCAAAAAATTATTAATCAGAAGTTCCATTTAAAGAATACCTCTGAATGATTTTACATTTAGGATTATAAATTTTTTTCGCGTTACATTATACCTTATACCTACCTCAATATCAAAATTTCATTTCTTATATTTATTAACATTATATTATCATAAAGTTTATCTATTTTGAAGACTTAATCTAGTCCAATATTTTCATTTTCAAAATTTATTATCCTATTTGAAAAATTATCCAAAGCAATACAATTGTCTATCAGATAATTAATAATAAAAACAATTATAATTAATTTTTATAAATAAAGTCTAATAATAATTGTAATTAATATCTGATTTAGAACAAAAAAGTAATAAATCATTCTATAATATTTTTCTATAAAAATTAATTTCAAACAAGCATTATCATTTTTTAAATAAGTTTTCCAATCAATAAAATACTTAGCCCTATCAAACAAATGCAGTATATCAATGGAAAAACTAGAATAAATGATGAAAAACCCATCATCTTTTAATAGTTCGTATATTAAATTTTATCGAATGTTTCAATTAATTTAGCAAAGAGATGCTTAAATGCTAAACAAGGAAAGATCATAATCAAAAAAAGAGAAAACAAATATCGTATTGAATTCAAATTGTTCGTATTATTTAATTAGCAAATTGTACACAATCCCTTTTGAGAAAACAATCCAACTCTTCTTTCACATTTTTGGCAATAGGAAGCCATGCATAAGCAACATTTTTTTTTATCTGGCTTGCAATCATAGTTATAAGTATTGCATTTATCACATTAAAATCCTTAATACATGAACTTCCAACAAATATCACATATATCTTCATCAATTATGTAACAAATGTGATTATCTGAAATGCTGACTCTTTATGTTTATTTTTCATTCAATTTTTAAGTCAGCCTTTAGTAATAATTTGGTAATTTTCCTAATAATAAATGCTTTGGGTAAGACAAAAATCCTTTTAAATTAGATTAATGCTCTTTATTACATATCCTACATTATTTCCTTCTTTTAGACATATTTATTGTAATAATATTATCAAAATTATATCTTTAAGTTATTCAATTAAATTTTAGAAACATTTGTATATTATTTCTTTCTAATATATTTAATAATGAAAGCAGAAAATTTTATTCTAAATTCACAAATTTTTTATTTATCTTTTACAAAATTTTAATAAGCTCTATGCTTTCAATCAGAATTATGATAAGATATATATTTTTTGGAATTAAATTTTAATCAGCCAAACCTAAATTACCTAAAACTTAACCTTTTCATAATTCGATTAAAAATACTTTATAATTTAATCAATCAAGTTATTGCATATAAAATTAAACTATTGTCTTAATTTATCTAAAATTTTTTATTCGCAAAATTTTTAGGATCTTTGTTAATAAGCTATTAGCATTTGATTTTTATTTTTATTTGTGATTCTCATGATAAATAGATTAAATTAAAATTTAAATATTGAATCTATAAAGAAATTCAATGCACTAATAATGTTTATTTGTTGATAAAATCAAGGTTTAGACTATTTCATAAATTATTTTACATTCGAATTCTGTGCCAATTTAGGAATTATGTGTTATAAGATATTTTTTTTTAGAGTAATTTTTATATCAATCTAAATAGTTTAAAGAAAATGTATTTTGCATGAATAAATTTTTAGGAAATTAACGAACAAATTTAAAAATGAATAAAAATTATGTTAAACATAATAATAACTTGAAAACATGAATGTTTAAGATTGATTTTATAAAATTTTAAAGTAAATGAATATTGGTATTTCTAAAATATAGTTGAAAGATGTAAAAAATATTAAAGGTTTGAAAAAAAGATAATATAATTATAAATCAAATCAATTCATCTATCATTAAATGATTTTTATATGAAATTAGCATTTCAACTTCTTCAATTACTATATCTGTTGAAAATTTAGTAATTACCCTTTATTAACATAATTGGATATGATTTTAACTTGTTTTGATAGAATAAAATGGAGAATTGTAAAAGTATCCATTTAATTTCATATTAAGAATTCTATTTAAGGAACTATCAATAATTAATTATTTTTCTTCATCTGTAATTTCAAATTTAAACTTTTCCATCTCCTTTTTTAAATTATCATTGAATATTTATTTAATGATAATTTAAGCATTGCTCTTTAATATTGTTTAATATTTTCCATAATATTCTCTCATTTATTTGATAAATTCATCATCTTTTTCAAATTTATTATAAGCTATTTGAGTGGATAAAATCATATTATTTTTTTCAAGAATAGTAAATAAATACTTTATCTTTGCTATAAAAATATTTTCTATAAAAAATGACCCTTCTTTTTCTAAATTTTGAATAAGATCTTTAATGTATAAGTCTGTATTTTATTTTGTTACTTTTCTTGATTCAATTAATTTTAAAAATCCTTTGCAGTCATCTAAATCAATATATTATTCTTCACTATCATATTTTTGTTTTTATAAAATGCCTATAATATAATTTAAAGTATCTAAAATATTCAATTTATCGCATTCTTAAATAATGGGATTGTATATTTCTTTAAGAATCTTGTCTTTTTGAGAATCATTAAAGAATATTTTTTTATTCTTAAATTGATTCAAAATGTCTTTAATAATTTTTAAAATTTTCTGTTTTGCTGGAATGGGTATATTTGAACCTTCTTCATATAATAAACATTGATATCCTGTAAATGCAATAGAATAATCAATTTTTGTAACATAAACCTTTATTGTTTAATCTCGATCTTTAAAATTCAACCAAATTCTATTATCATCTAGATATAAATGTTCAATTTTATCTTTATCTTCTAATTTTATGACTTTCTTTAATAAATCAAGAAAAATAGTTAAGAGTTATCCCAAATAAATTTTAGCATAATTCTCTGTCTAAAATACTTGATTTATATATATACAATCAAATAAATTAAATCGCTTAATCTAAGACATTTAGATCGATCAATCTGATATTCAATTACTTTTTCATCTTAATAAATATTTACAAATCCAATTGAATCTACTTTAAGAATCTCATTTAATGATTTTATATCCTCATAAGAATAATATTAAAAAGTCTAATATTCCATTCCTTCCATTTTTTTTATTTATATTAATTATAATATTAACTAATTCTATTAAATTAATTTTTTTATGTATTAATATTAAGTAATCAAGTTTTTAGAATAATCAAATACCTGTCTTTTATTGAAATAGATAAGTCTATTAACTTTGTAATAACTAGCTGATTTATATTTTGATATCTTGGATTATAAATAATATATTTTTAAATTAGAATTTATTTGGATTTATTTAAGATAATTGTTATATTTAATATTTATCTTATTAGAAAAATTCATCTTGATTCAAATAGAATTTAATAATTATTATTAACATGTGCTATTTTATTCATTCTTCAGCATGTATTTTGCTCAATAATTAAAAATTAAATTTAATATTCATAACATTTATTTTTGATTCAATAATATTTCAAACACACCTAATTTAGTATACTTAAAAATTTTATGTCAAGATTTATTATCAAAGAAAGCTTATTTTTACTTACTCATAAGATTAATCATTTGATTTATCTACTAAATCAAGGTAACAGAAAATACGAGGAAAGTTATGTATCACTCTAAATTTAATAAAGGAAATAAACTGCTTCTTATTTTTATAGAAATGGAAAAATGCTTTTTTGTGTTCTAAAATTACGTTAATAACAAATCATGTTTTTAATAGAATTCATTATTTTTTTAAGATAGCCTACCAATAATTTTCAACATTTTCATGCATTGTAGAATAAATCTATTAAATTTGCTTATAATTTTATTGAAGTTATTTTGAAAATAAAAGTTCTCCAAAATAATTTATTTTTATAATTAAATTGAATATATTTTGTTATTATTGAACAAATTTGAAATAGATTCAAACTATTTTAATCTGATTAGGTTGTTATGTCCTTAAATTTTTAATTATGATGAATGGTCTAATAATTTGAAGTATGGTGATTAGTTCTAAATTTTTCATCATTAAATAATCAAGCTGAGAATATATAAATTTAATAATTATATCAATTTGGAGAAGATAAAAAAATTTATATTTATATAAAAGTGAGAATGAAATTAGCATATAAATGAATTCTAATAAAACTATAAGAATAATTAACTCATAAAAAGACTCTGATTCAAATAAAACAGAGAAGAGTGGCCAAGACAAGTATATAAAAAGAAACTATATGAATATGCCTAAAAATCGATAAGAAAATTAATTACTCCTAACATGATTTGTAATATTTAAATGTGATCATAATTGAGATCCATTAGGCAATAACAGTTAATTTTGCAGCTATAGTTTACTGGATGATGTTTAAGATAAATACAAAAATCAAAGGCAAAAATATAAGTATAGTCCATATTAAGATCTGTCTAAATTTAAACGAGATTTCAAGTTCTTATATTTTTAACTTTGAGAATTAAAAAATTTATCTAAAAGAAACAAAAGCAAATAATAAAACTTATTCTATCTACCATGGTTGAATAATCTAGAAATTACAAATTAAAACAATCTAGAAAATTAATGTCTCTAAAATTTTCTTCCAAGTAATTTTTTTAAATTCATCATTTTTAATGGAATCATTATTAATATAATCTAATTAAATGGCTCCTCTTAGGTTGTCATCAACAACATGATTTGTTTATGGTTGACTTTCATAGAGAATCTACATACGAGGTCCTCCTTTTTTTTCAATGTTAGATAATAATCTAGTCAATGTTTTTTCATTCTAATATATAATTTCTATCTCTTTGCCTAGTTGATCATAGTTAATTGATTTTAAAGTCTTGAGGATACCAAATTTGATTTCTCCACAATCATCTTGATACTTTATAACGTTAAAATTAGCTTGTTTATATATAATTATAATTCTTACCTTGAGTTTGTTAAATAGTGTTTGATCGCTGAGGAAGAGCTCCATTGCTGTTGTTTTTAGAATAAGAGGATCGTTTTTTATCTCCAAAGAAACTAATGCCAGAATCCTATTTGAGATGATTTTGTCCTCTTTCTGTCGTAGTTTAAGGTACATTATTGATTTCATTCATTTGAGCCATCTACTTAGGAGTATGATTTGAATTGCTTTCTTAAATGGATGGAATAGCTGGTAGATATTAAGGTTACTATTCCATTTCTTAGTCTATTTTCCCTATGCGTTCTGAGACTTAAGTATTCAAAATATTAATCTATGGAATCTCAGTCTATTGGGGTTATTTGAAATACAATCTTGATATTAAGAATATTGATGCTGCTATTGTTAAATCTATTATTCATTAGAGAACATATATACAATATAAATTTCCTATCATTCTTATTTCAAGCAGTAATATACTGATGTTACACAGAGAAAACATTAGTGATATCTTTTGCTTATTTAAGTCTCGGTCATAAATGTAAAATAAAGTGATCACAGATGAGGATAATAAAATCAACTAAAATTGCAAGAGTTAATTATTCATGATATAATTATTATTTAGTTTAAATTATATTAAAGTAATTCTCATTCAATTTGATTCTAAAAATATCACTAACTGAGTGACATTGTATATTGAAATTATTTTTATAAGGAAATGATCAAAAAACCCATAAATTTAATCATATATATTACTCATGGAATATTTAGGAGGTCCCAGATAAATAAATTTCAGATAGTTAGTAAGGATTGCATGGAAATATATTTTCTGATGACTTCATTAATCTAATTTAATTGGAAATGTATTTCCAATATACTGAGTTGATGGATATGTTTGAATATCAAAGTGAAGCACAACTTTATTTTAGCAAAGAATTTTATCCATATATAGTTATATTTTTTATTACCTTATTGCATTTGATTTTTGGACTCAATCATAGATTCAGATTCTTAAAAATTTCATCATATAGAATCAATTTAGAAAAGTTATGCATTCTTAGAGGTAACCAAAATGTATTGATATTTTTCAATATTTAATTTAGAAAACTTGGAAATAGCAATTCGAGTAACATAATTCAATAACGAATTTGTTAACCCTTAACCTAAGAGATGACAAAAGATGAGAGTTAAGAAGTTTTTTGTTCCAATATGAAAAGATGACATTACTCAGTAATATTTAAAAAATAAAAGAAAACTAAGTTCCTAAGTATCTGGAAAGGAAAAATCCTTAATTTAAATACCAGAGGTTATAGAGAAAAATATTCAAAATTAATAAATGCTTTAACTCAATGTTATCATCTAAAAAACTTAGTAGGATTTTATGACAATAAATAATTGAAAAATAGGAGCTACAAAAATAATTTAGAGAACAATAAGAAAAATCCAAGACTATGCAATAAAGAATATAGATCTAGGACGAATGTTTCAAATATTAAGAAGGGGAAAGACTATTCAGATCCTATTTTTTAGTCTCATTTTGTTCAGTCTAATAACCCATCATTTTAAAACTTTACCTAATAACACTTATATTCTTGATTATCTTTTATTTATTCATCATTATACATCCATTAAAATGAGTTTGCATATAATTTTCAGCTCACAATATGAAATCATATTTCAAAAAGACAATGAAGTAAAATGATCACAAATAAGTCTTCAAACCCATAAATCAAGATAACTTACGAGCACAAAGTCAAAATGAAAATTCGTGTGAAGGCGATATTTAAGACAGTATATATGAGATTGCATCCTTTTCAATTTCTTTAATAAAATGTTCAAGATCAGAGGTAGCAGCAATCTTTTTATTCCAACAGGTTTAACTGAATTATGTAATAGTATTTTTGATAGTAAATCCTTTTTCGCCAATATTTTGGGTTAGCTAAGAATAATTTTATAACATTATTTACATCGGGCATCAACCTGATCTTAATTTAACTCTCTCATTACATTCAATCCTATTGAATTCAATGTTCAACAGTTCATTTGAGTTACTAACTGAGCATACTTTGAATATTAGGCTCATTTTGATATGATGAGTAAAATCATAAAATTGTACCAAATAGGAAGACTTTATATTTTAGGTACATACTATAATTGTAATTAATGTTGGAACTCTAAATGAGATGTCTAGTGACCAGGAACCTAAAATTAACTTTAGATTAAAAATGTTGCGATTGTATCTTTGAAATACATAAATAAACTCATATTTCAATAATTAAACTCATTAATATACCGTCCGGGGTTCAAAACCCCGTTAATAAAGAAATGAAAAAAACATAATTTATTTACTTAAAATGAAAATCATCAAAATTTTACTACTCCTTTGCATTGTCTCTTCAGTGTTCACACAACTCACATAAAGTGCTCCACCATCTGGTCAACGTAAGATGATTAAATTAATTTAATCTAGCTGGCTCTGGAACATCAGGCTCGACATAAGGTGCCCCTACTGGTCAACAAGGATAATAAAATACATCTGGTATCTAATAATATCTTATGATTTTTAGGTGGCTAATAACCAGGAGGCCAATAATAAGGTGGAATGTAATAAGGTGGTATGCAATAAGGTGGCCAGTAAGGTGGTCAATAAGGTGGTCAATAAGGCGGTCAATAAGGTGGTCCATAAACAGGAGGAAAGGCCAAGAAATGCTTACCAACATAAGCTTAAGGACAATAATAAGGAACATAATAGGGTTAATAATCAGGACAATAATAACCAACTTAATAAACCCTACCTGGAAATCAACTACCAGGAACTTAAACAACTCAATAATAACCTCCAACTGGAACATAGTAATAACCAACAGGTACTTAATAACCTCCAACTGGAACATAATAATAACCAACAGGAACTTAATAACCTCCAACTGGAACTTAATAATAGCCAACAGGAACATAATAACCAGGTGGAACTTAATAATAACCAGGTGGATAAATGGGATAAGGTGGATAAGGCTAAATGGGATAAGGTGGATAANAGTCTTCAAACCCATAAATCAAGATAACTTACGAGCACAAAGTCAAAATGAAAATTCGTGTGAAGGCGATATTTAAGACAGTATATATGAGATTGCATCCTTTTCAATTTCTTTAATAAAATGTTCAAGATCAGAGGTAGCAGCAATCTTTTTATTCCAACAGGTTTAACTGAATTATGTAATAGTATTTTTGATAGTAAATCCTTTTTCGCCAATATTTTGGGTTAGCTAAGAATAATTTTATAACATTATTTACATCGGGCATCAACCTGATCTTAATTTAACTCTCTCATTACATTCAATCCTATTGAATTCAATGTTCAACAGTTCATTTGAGTTACTAACTGAGCATACTTTGAATATTAGGCTCATTTTGATATGATGAGTAAAATCATAAAATTGTACCAAATAGGAAGACTTTATATTTTAGGTACATACTATAATTGTAATTAATGTTGGAACTCTAAATGAGATGTCTAGTGACCAGGAACCTAAAATTAACTTTAGATTAAAAATGTTGCGATTGTATCTTTGAAATACATAAATAAACTCATATTTCAATAATTAAACTCATTAATATACCGTCCGGGGTTCAAAACCCCGTTAATAAAGAAATGAAAAAAACATAATTTATTTACTTAAAATGAAAATCATCAAAATTTTACTACTCCTTTGCATTGTCTCTTCAGTGTTCACACAACTCACATAAAGTGCTCCACCATCTGGTCAACGTAAGATGATTAAATTAATTTAATCTAGCTGGCTCTGGAACATCAGGCTCGACATAAGGTGCCCCTACTGGTCAACAAGGATAATAAAATACATCTGGTATCTAATAATATCTTATGATTTTTAGGTGGCTAATAACCAGGAGGCCAATAATAAGGTGGAATGTAATAAGGTGGTATGCAATAAGGTGGCCAGTAAGGTGGTCAATAAGGTGGTCAATAAGGCGGTCAATAAGGTGGTCCATAAACAGGAGGAAAGGCCAAGAAATGCTTACCAACATAAGCTTAAGGACAATAATAAGGAACATAATAGGGTTAATAATCAGGACAATAATAACCAACTTAATAAACCCTACCTGGAAATCAACTACCAGGAACTTAAACAACTCAATAATAACCTCCAACTGGAACATAGTAATAACCAACAGGTACTTAATAACCTCCAACTGGAACATAATAATAACCAACAGGAACTTAATAACCTCCAACTGGAACTTAATAATAGCCAACAGGAACATAATAACCAGGTGGAACTTAATAATAACCAGGTGGATAAATGGGATAAGGTGGATAAGGCTAAATGGGATAAGGTGGATAAGGTTAAACCGGATAAGGCGGATAAGGATAAATGGGATAAGGCGGATAAGGATAAATGGGATAAGGAGGATAAGGTTAAACCGGATAAGGTGGATAAGGATAAATGGGATAAGGAGGATAAGGATAAGGAGGATAAGGATAAGGAGGATAAGGATAAGGTGGATAAGGATAAGGAGGATAAGGTAAACCTCAAGCACCTCCTTAATCAAAAGGATAATGGAATGAAGACTCAGAATAATAAGAACAATGTGTTGAAGTTGAAGTCACTTGTGCCGATACTGAAGTTGTTTTCAAAAATAGATGTGTAGCTTAAACATGTGAAAACTTAGACAAAGTTTAAAGCAAATAAGAAGGTGGAAAGAAAAAGCTTCCAATAAAATTTGATGGAAAAGCTGACTTCAATGACAATAAAGATGTTGTTGTACAACTTGTATTCCCTGATTAAAAAGATAAATCTCTTGTTAAATCAGATGGGAATGCCAATGCTTGTGTAGAAAGATCAATATACAGATATAGACCAAGTTTCTTAAGTGAAACATTAGATGAATCAACTATTACAAGCAGTTATGATGATGATAAATAATTAAGAACTTGGGAATTCACAATCTTGAATGCAGATCTTGATAGCAAATTATTCAAAGATGAATAAATTGACAAGATTGTTTATACTGGTTACTATTCAGTCAAACTCACAATCTAAGAGAAGAAATTAGCATAATTCTTCTTCACATTCTTTGTTGCAGTTGATTTAGATGGAAATGTATTATCAGCTAAAGCTACATCTGAAGCTTAAGATGATACTCCTGCTTGTGCAACTGAAGATAATTGTGTTTCAAGAGCAGAAACTGAAGTTGGATTCTGTAGTGATTAAACCTGTTCAACTCTAGTTGATTAACCATAAGTCTATGCTAAATAAAATTTCTATGTTGTTCAAAGAGTCAAATAAACAGGATTTGAATAATGGAAAGTCGGAGATGCTGATGTCACTATTACAGGTGATGGAGTCAATAAAAAATTGAAGCCCACTTCATAATAAAAACAAGCTGGATAAACTATTTATACATTAAATGTTGATCTGATTGCTAATAATGTTGAATTCTCAGTCAATGGTAAACTTGAAGATCCAGCTGCAGCTAGAAGATTTAGATTCTTAGAAGACGCTACAACTACTGATGGTGCTGAAGTCTCTTCTGCTAAAGCTGTTGGTTCTACTACTGTAGAATGTATTAAAAAAGATGCCAATTCTTAATGCCCAACAGCTGAAGAAGCTAAGTAATACAACAAACCAGATTGCGGAACTATTGAATAAACTGAATGTGAAGAATATGGATACATCTGGTCTTTTATGATGTTTGCCATCATCATGTTTATCTAATGATAAATTATTTACATCATTCAAGAACAAAAATCAAAATTTTATTTTTTATTCAAAAAATATAAAAATTTAATTTAATAGAATTAGTTAATATTATAATTAATATAAATAAAAAAATGTAAGGAATGGAATACTAGACTTTTTAATATTATTCTTATGAGGATATAAAATCATTAAATGAGATTCTTAAAGTAGATTCAATTGGATTTGTAAATATTTATTAAGATGAAAAAGTAATTGAATATCAGATTGATCGATCTAAATGTCTTAGATTAAGCGATTTAATTTATTTGATTGTATATATATAAATCAAGTATTTTAGACAGAGAATTATGCTAAAATTTATTTGGGATAACTCTTAACTATTTTTCTTGATTTATTAAAGAAAGTCATAAAATTAGAAGATAAATATAAAATTGAACATTTATATCTAGATGATAATAGAATTTGGTTGAATTTTAAAGATCTAGATAAAACAATAAAGGTTTATGTTACAAAAATTGATTATTCTATTGCATTTACAGGATATCAATGTTAATTATATGAAGAAGGTTCAAATATACCCATTCCAGCAAAACAGAAAATTTTAAAAATTATTAAAGACATTTTGAATGAATTTAAGAATAAAAAAATATTCTTTAATGATTCTCAAAAAGACAAGATTCTTAAAGAAATATACAATCCCATTATTTAAGAATGCGATAAATTGAATATTTTAGATACTTTAAATTATATTATAGGCATTTTATAAAAACAAAAATATGATAGTGAAGAATAATATATTGATTTAGATGACTGCAAAGGATTTTTAAAATTAATTGAATCAAGAAAAGTAACAAAATTATATACAGAATTATACATTAAAGATCTTATTCAAAATTTAGAAAAAGAAGGGTCATTTTTTATAGAAAATATTTTCTTAGCAAAAGTGAAGGTTTTATCTGTTGTTCTTGATAAAGATCATGTCGCTAAAAATGCTGCATTGTTATATAAAAAATTTGAAAAAGATGATGAATTTATCAAATAAATGAAAGAATATTATGAAAAATATTAAACAATATTAAAGAACAATGCTTAAATTATCATTAAATAAATATTCAATGATAATTTATAAAAGGAGATGGAAAAGTTTAAATTTGAAATTACAGATGAAGAAAAATAATTAATTATTGATAGTTCCTTAAATAGAATTCTTAATATGAAATTAAATAGATACTTTTACAATTCTCCATTTTATTCTATCAAAACAAGTTAAAATCATATCCAATAATGTTAATAAAGTTTAATTACTAAATTTTCAACAGATATAGTAATTGAAGAAGTTGAAATGCTAATTTCATATAAAATATTATTAATGATTGATGAACTAATTTGATATTTTATTTGAAATAGTATTATTATAATGTAAATAAGGAAAGAAATTATATATTTTATATAAGATTATGTTTAAAATTGTCCTATGCATTATTATGTATTTTTTTAATAAAAATCCTATAAATTGGAACAAGATTTTTTAGAAATTTGGCAAACCTCTATTTATTAATTGATAATTTAAGAATTGTTCTTTAATATTTTTAATTGTTTTTATAATATTCTTTCATTTATTTAATAAATTCATCATCTTTTTCAAATTTTTTATATAAGACTCGAGCAATTAAAAAATAAGATAAATACTTTATCTTTGCTATAAAAATATTTTCTATTAAAAATGAGCCTTCTTTTTTTAAATTTTTAATAAGATTATTAAAGTATAAGTCTGTATTTACTTTTGTTACTTTTCTTTATTCAATTAATTTTTCAACTCCTTTATGGAAGCTTTCTATTCTTTCTTCACTAAATTAGAAATCTCATACAAAAAAATTTTTTTATATAATTTAAATTAACAATAATGATTTGTAATTTAATAATTAATAGAAATATAATAATAATTAAAAAAATGTTAAATTTGTTTTATGGTTGTGATGAAGTGTATTCCTTCGAAAACAAAGAGGAAATATTTAAAACCTTAGACTTTGATTAATTTGGATAAATGAAATTAGATTTTATTAATAAATGTATTACTTATAAAATAGATCGACGAAAATTTATTAGATTAATAGATTTGATATTTTGGATTGTAATAAATACATTATTATTATTCTTAATAGGAATCAGGCTTTGTTATGATTCATTTAGGATAATTATTGCAATTAATTATTAACTTATTACAAAAAGTACAAATTATGGAATCTAAAGGAATTGAACATAATTATCTTAATACTCATAGAATTTGGCTTTAATTAACTCAAAATAGTTAATATCCAACTCTTATTTATTAATTTTTATATTATACTATTCATTTCACAGGATACTAATGTCCATTTTATGAAAATTAAATTAAACCATCTATGAAAGCTTCACATTAAATTAATCAAATTATAATATTCATTATTAATAGATGTTATAATTCAATTCACTTAAAATGGACAAATCTATAAAAAAGAAATGAAATATTTGAAGAAATTTTACAACCAATAATTAATTTATGTAAATCTAATTCAACTTCTTTTGAAATCATTACATTCATTAAAGAAATATTAATGAAATATAAATATTAAGATGATTAAAAAAATAAAATGGTTTAATCATTAACAATAGATGATAATTACAATGATTATTTTGGATCTGATAGATAAGAATTAATTCCAAAAATAAATAAAGATTTAACTTCAATGATTGAATTTGGATCTTAATATGGATAAATTGTAATTGAATTTTTATTACAAAATTATATTCCAATTATTACTCAACATTTATCATCTAAATCTAAAATTAAATTCGATTATATGATGAAATGTTAAGAATAACATAATATTGTAAAAAAGAGAGAATCCAAGCTTAAATAACAAATTAATGAATTAGTTTAATATCAAATAAAAGATAACTTATAAGAATATGAAAAGAACTATAAATTTGAAATTACCTAATAAGAAATGAAATAACTGGAAAAAGACATTGTTGATTAAGTATTTCAATCTAAATTTGTTTAATATTTTAACAATACATATTGGTTACATTCTAATAATCCAGATATTGATGATGCAATTTTTGCCATCATTTCAAAAAATATAATTGAACCTGTATCAGAAAAAATAGAAATATTATTTATGTATAAAATACTATTACTGATTGATGATTTGATATGAAATATTAATAATTTGTGTATGACACCATTTTCAAAAATCTATATTAAAAAATTATAGTTTATTATTGATTAATTATCTTTAATATTTATGGAATGTTTCTCTTTGTATGTTTTTAATTAATAATAGTCATGAATCAAATAGAATTAATGGAGGTCATATTTGTTATTATTTAATTAAAATTAATTAAATACCTTTTTAATATAATTTTTATGCTTAGATTAAATTATTTATTTCATTGGCTATTGATTTCGAAATTTTGAAAGATTTGATGAAAACAAAACCCTTAAATTGAATCATACAACAAAATTTTACAAAAAATTATTTTAAGTTGTTACAATCAAATTATTAAAAAAGAGAAATTTTGTAAACCATGATAATGAAAATAAGGGTTGATTTATTTTGTTAAAGATGTATTTAGATATTTAAACAAAATATTTATATGATAAAGAAATATAAATCACTAATTTTGATGAAAATATAGGAACATTTGGCATTATAAGAAATTTAACTATTTTAACAAATTATGATATTAGAATGTTGTTAAGATTAATTTCTTTCTTTTATTATTTCATAATTTGATATTCCTAAAGGATAGCAATGATAAATCTTCAATAAATTTATGTTTATAAAAGAAAAAGTATTTGTTAAATAATTTAACACAAATTAAACTAATCACCTTATATTGAAATATTTTAGTAATACAACACACATAATACAAATTTAAGGATACTAAAAAATAAAGATATAAATGAATATATAAACTTAAAATAATAACAATGAAATTGAAGTCATGAAAAAAGGAAATTCGTGAATAATACCTTCAAAATATAGATTATTTAAAAATAAATATACAGATAATTATTAGATGATTTGATATGATTAAATGATAAATTAATCAAAAGAAAAGATAACAATATAAAGATTTAAAACTCACAAATTTTATATGTTTGTCATTGGGGCTAATTTTCTTGTTTTATTAAATTTAAAATTAGAATTAAGCCTACCAGAAGAGATAGGAATGGAAGAACTTCGTTGTCTAGATGCTGTAGGTTATGATGGTGGCTATAAGACATTTTGATCTTAATCAAAAAAATCTTATTTAGCTTATCTTAATAAAGTGGTACACATTTCTAATAGTTAATCCCTTTTAAAAGATTTACCATCAACTACTATATCAGATGGATGATATGCCAAACAAGCTAATTTGAAACATTATAATAATTATATTGATTGACCTGAACAAGATAGACATTCACCATTTATTTAGATTGATGGTCCTTTTTTACTTTAACCAGTATATACTAATCCATTATCAATTTAAGTATCTTTTGCCCCCATAAGTTAGATTCCTTATCTATCAATTTCATCTTAAATTAATAAATGTGTAATTAGAACTAAGAAATGTAATATTGTTTAGAAGGTTTTTTTGAATTCTTTGATTTAATCAATCGTGACTTCATTTTAATTTGAATTTTCTTGGTTTAATATTTTCTTAATATTTTCTTCCAGATTTTTAACTTAATTAGTGGTTGTATTTATTAATTTTTGATTATTACTTTAGCATGATGATATATTAAGAAATATTTAATCATTAGTTTCCTTTTAGATTTAGATAATTTAATTTTTAAGATTAATATTCAATTATTTAACTTCATCAATTTGTTATTAAAAATTGTCTTTAATTTGTTTAATCTAATCTTCATAAAAGTTTAAATTAGAATTATTAGATTAGAGAGAGTTTTTTTTCTATTATGATACAAAATTTGGCTATTGAATTACATCTTTGGAATAGATGCTTTCTTTTCTATGGTTATTTGTTGAATCCTATCTAATTTAAATACTATTTCTGACATTAGTTTTTTAACTTTTATTATCACTCTCCATATCAGATTCTGAAGATTAGGAATCATTCTATTCTTTTTTTGAATTTAAAAACATCATTTAAGTGATTTTTGAATTTCTTTTTGTGACTTCTGCCAATATTTTAGTGTATTCATCCATTAATATTTAAATATTAGGATCACCACTATATTCTAATAATTATTTATCTAGTTAATCAAATTTCTATTTTTCAAATTATGCAAACTTGAAGAAGAATTTCAAAGGCAAACAAGTGAATAAAGAATCACTAATCTATGCTTAAATATACATAGGTAAATAATAAATAAGAAACATTTATACTTATTTATTGTTATTGATTAGTTGATCAACTTCTAAAATTTATTTTTTTAAAGTTGTAATTTATAAATCTGCTTTAACTAATTTAGTATCTATTACTTCAAAAGCATTAATATTTGAGTTTTGTTTTTTGTTAATTTCAAGAATGGCATCTGAAATCTGTTTCAATTTGACTTATTCTTATTTTACTACATTAATTAAATCAGAATGTTTATTATCCACCTTACCAAATTATTATTCAATATCTATTGCAGTGAGTTTCCAATTTTTAGTACTTTCTGTTAAATCTGATGATAATTGTTTAATGAGTTATTCAACACTTGATTTGAAATTATCATTTTTTATTTAAATGTCATGGAGATCTTATTCTAATTTTATTTTAAAATATTCAAGTGTTCTAACAGCTTATAAAAACTTTGAGATTTAATTATCTGTACTATCAAGACTTTGTTTAAAATTGCTAAATTAATCTATTGATTCTCGTTTTTATTGATCAAGTTTCATTTCTAAGTCTATAAATTTTTATTTGAATTCATCAAAGATAGGTATTCCAGCTCCTTAATTTAAGACAATTTCTCTTAAATAAGAAACTTCTTTATTGTTGGATTTAAAGTTTTATTGTAATTCATCAACGATCATTCTATCCTCATGTAATTATTTAATTGTTGGTTCCATTAATTTTTAGACAAACAATCTAATTTTAGTTTCAACTTCAAACCATTCAAACTCTCTTATTTTATAACTTTGCTGAGATTTTATTTGTTCTGTAAGTTTTGCTGAAGTGCTATTTTAACTATCATACATATTTTGATTAATTTTTGATATTAAAATATTGTAAGAGTTTATAATACCATATACCATTATTGTATCATTGTTTTCTGAAAGAGTTTATATACTAAAGATAGAATATTGTCAAATATATTAATTTTATCTAAATAGAGAAGAATGTATATTAATATAATAAATATACCTGAAAAATAGATGGTATCAAAATAAGTAAAATTTAATAAACAGTCAATTGGATAGGTGTATTTTGGCTATATAATATTATCTTAAGAAATAGGATTTAATTTATAGGATTTTAAATGTAGCTATAATAAGGTATAAGGAGTATATAAATATAAACAGTAAAATTGTAGGGGATTAAAAAAGAAAAGAATAAAATAAACAAAACAATCATACAACAGATAAAGTTTATCGTTGTTATCTTCTTTAGAGTATTGGATTTTTATCAATTCGATAATTCTGTTTTTCCTATTTAATTTCTGTATTAGATTTGGATTTAGTTAATTTCTTTTTGCTCCAAGTGATAGTGAATTCATTATCAAGTTCATGGTTGTTTGAAAAAAAGGTTGGTTGTTTTTTTAATTTTGCATTATGACAGCCCATTTTGGAATATTTAAAATTATTTAAAATATTTTAAAATAATAATGAATATATGATATCTTATGTTATTCTTGTTTAATGCATAATTAATTAATAATGAAAAACTATCGAAATATATAGGATTTAATAGTCATTTTAATAAATATTATGGATAAGTTAACTCAAATTGATATAATAATTTGAATGATTTATTTTGTAGACATTCAATTAAGAGTTAAGGATAATGTGCAATTAATTCAACAGTTGGAATGAGAGGTTCTACATCATCAATTCCATAGATAGGAATCAATGGATCTTTGGAATCAAAGTGTAGAGAGTCATTTAAGACTTAATTGTAACCCCAATGAAATGGATTAAATGGATTTGCAAACAAATCTAATAATAAGTGTTAATTACTTTGGCTGGAAGAATCAAATAATCATTGTTAGTAATTTAATTACTTATATTATTAAATTTATAACAATTTTTACTTAATTTAGATAAAATACTATACAATCTATTTCGGATATGAAGTCCTCTCAAACTAAAATAAAAATTTGATAATTACTCAGTTTTATTTAGAATTCCATTTAAGTTAACAAATGGGCCATAAATATTGGTTGTATTGTAGATAGGAGTAAGATTTGGCCATTATGTTGTTTCAATGAGATTTATTATTTGATCATAATATTATTTGTTTATTTGAAATTGTATATAACCCATTTAAGTGATTTCTATATTCGAAATCAATTTAATTTAATTCCAAATTGGAGATGAAAAATTAACCAAGATTTCTTAAGCAACATCTTTAGGAAGGAGAGTTTCTTTCCATTCTTTTTACTATGACTATTAGATTTGCAGTTTTACATAATTATTTTTATAATGCTCAGAAAATGTGGCTGGACATGAAGTTGAATACTTTAAATTCTGAAATTGGATTTAAATTTCATAATCACGAGCAAAAGCCTTTTTGAAAGCAATCTAAACACTTTATTTTAATGCTTGAGTAATATTTAACATATTATATTAATTATAATAATATAACTTGATTATTATGAAAGTTGAATGTCATATATTAATAATGATATTTTTAGTAATACAAATTTAGGAGATATTTAATATTTAATTATTATATATATATATATATTCATAATCCAAGTTTGGACAATATTTATTAATGTCCAATATCAATAGCTTAATTGATTACATCTCCCAATTATTATTTGGATTATAGTAATTGATAAGCATTGTTTTCAAATTAGAATTTAAGTTTATTAATTTCATCTTTTCTTTATTGTAATTCTATTTCTAATAATTGAATTCTGGAGGCAAGTTCAGCATTTTCCATATCAATTTATGCCCATTTCATTTGTCCTCTAACATACTACTATTCTAATTCTTTGACACTATCACTTCTATTAGTAATTACAGAGAGATCCATACAACTTTAGAAAGTTTCAATTGTATCCTACTATTTGATTTCAGTTATTGTTGTTTATGCATTTTGAATCTAATAAATTATTATTGAAATATATTACATCTTTGAGTGTCTAATAGAGTTAACTAAACTAATGTAATTGATTCTATGATTTAAACTCTAACCATTATCTAACTACATTACAATTGAATTCTGAGTCATTTTATTCCATAATAAATTTATTAGGATTGACACATTAAGTAATAACTATTTCTAAACCATCTGATCCACTTATTTTCTTAATACCTAGAATATCAACATCATCTAATACCTTTCTTGATGATATCTTAATAATTAATATATTCTATTGATTTCATACCTTCTTCCTGAAATATATACAATTCTACATCTTCATTTTTGAGATATTGTTCATTCCTAACTGAAAAAACATCCTCATTTTAAACAGCCACTATTTAGCATCCCTTAGACAATATTTTCATTTATTATTTAAAGTATGCATTTATTCAAATTATATATATTCATTTTCTCTTTTTATTTTAACTTCTATTATTTCTTTTCATCTCCTAGTAGAATAGAATGGGAATATAAATTATTGAAATAACTTCATCCATTCAATATCTTTGAATTAAATTATATCATTAGACTTAATTTTTAATTGATCTTAAATGTATACCATTTTTCTTTATCCTTTACAAATTTATCATTTTTGTAAATCTTTTATAAACAAAATAATTGAATATTGATGATTATTTATACACTTTTTAATAATGGCATTAACAATGTATTATTATTCTGATAATTAAGATAACATCTCAATTACTATACCTTTTCAAACTCACTATTTTAATTCGGGATACTAATCTTATTTGAATAATATTAAACTAAATTACCAGACAATTAAGTTTGATCTCATTTGATTCTTTTATCAACTCAAAATAAATTGATTTGAGGAATTGATGATTATTTTTCAGATTTTGATTATCTATCATATGAGCTGAATTTACTTAAAACTCTACCTAAATAGATAACATATTCTGGTTGGTCATATTTAATTTTATTAATTTATATTTACTAATCTCTCATATATCCCATTAATATTATAATAAAAGAATTTTTCAATGTAGTAACAAATCGAATCATTATTTATCTTAGATTTATATTGAATCATTTTAATCATTAGTATCTAAACTGATATAAAATAAGTTTGTATTTTTAATAATCAAAGTATTTGTAATCTATATCTAAAATATTCATAATTATAAAAAATACACATTTTAAATACCTCAATAACCCATATCATTTAAATGTTATCTCCTTTGTATTTTTAATTATAGTATCATAAGATTGTACTCATAATTCCATCATTGTCATTTAAATCTATTTCCATAACCTTTACGGCAATTATATCATATCAAGTAATTCCCGCAAATTCTCTTTAAATATATAATTAACAATGATTACCATATGTATTTCTAGTTGTTGCTTACAACCTGCTTCTCTTTATCTTCCAAATAAATTTTATAACTAATATTTTAAAGATGTGAATTTTTGTAAATGTTTATAGTAAATTATCTTTATTAATATCAATCAATAAAATTGTCTTGTTTCATCCACAAATTAATTTGTTTCCATCCTTATTAAAATACAGGATTCACTAGATTGAAGAAATTACTCTTACTCTTTTTTCTTTTTCCATATTTACAAATAATTATAGTAAGCTATTAAAATCCTATTTTTATAAATTAGGTTTTTTAAGAATACTTCAAATTTAAATATATCCCTTACATTTTTTTTTCAAGTTGAGATTAATATTCAAATAAATTAATTTCAGTACTTGTAATTAAAGATTTTTTGGATTGTAAAAGTATTTCCTATTTTATTATTAATAATTAATAAATTGCTATTTTTAATAGAAATATAATAATAATTAAAAAAATGTTAAATTTGTTTTATGGTTGTGATGAAGTGTATTCCTTCGAAAACAAAGAGGAAATATCTAAAACCTTAGACTTTGATTAATTTGGATAAATGAAATTAGATTTTATTAATAAATGTATTACTTATAAAATAGATCGACGAAAATTTATTAGATTAAGAGATTTGATATTTTGGATTGTAATAAATACATTATTATTATTCTTAATAGGAATCAGGCTTTGTTATGATTCATTTAGGATAATTATTGCAATTAATTATTAACTTATTACGAAAAGTACAAATTATGGAATCTAAAGAAATTGAACATAATTATCTTAATACTCATAGAATTTGGCTTTAATTAACTCAAAATAGTTAATATCCAAATCTTATTTATTAATTTTTATATTATACTATTCATTTCACAGGATACTAATGTCCATTTTATGAAAATTAAATTAAACCATCTATGAAAGCTTCACATTAAATTAATAAAATTATAATATTCATTATTAATAGATGTTATAATTCAATTCACTTAAAATGGACAAATCTATAAAAAAGAAATGAAATATTTGAAGAAATTTTACAACCAATAATTAATTTATGTAAATCTAATTCAACTTCTTTTGAAATCATTACATTCATTAAAGAAATATTAATGAAATATAATTATTAAGATGATTAAAAAAATAAAATGGTTTAATCATTATAAATAGATGATAATTACAATGATTATTTTGGATCTGATAGATAAGAATTAATACCAAAAATAAATAAAGATTTAACTTCAATGATTGAATTTGGATCTTAATATGGATAAATTGTACTTGAATTTTTATTACAAAATTATATTCCAATTATTACTCAACATTTATCATCTATATCTAAAATTAAATTCGATTATATGATGAAATGTTAAGAATAACATAATATTTTATAAAAGAGAGAATGCAAGCTTAAATAACAAATTAATTAATTAGTTTAATATCAAATAAAAGATAACTTATAAGAATATGAAAAGAACTATAAATTTGAAATTACCTAATAAGAAATGAAATAACTGGAAAAAGACATTATTGATTAAGTATTTCAATCTAAATTTGTTTAATATTTTAACAATACATATTGGTTACATTCTAATAATCCAGATATTGATGATGCAATTTATGCCATCATTTCAAAAAATATAATTGAACCTGTATCAGAAAAAATAGAAAAATTATTTATGTATAAGATCATGTTATTAATTGATTAAGTTATATGAACAAGGATTAAATATTATATTTAATTAATTTTCATAGTATCAATTCGTTAATTTAAGAAAAATCAACAATTTATTTTATTGATTAATTAAATTTCATACTAATTTCGAAATTTTTTCAATTAACTATAATTCTCCTTATCAAATTATGATAAAATTATTCCTCTGTTATATATTGCTTAAAATATTTTTAAGGTTTATATTTATTATATTAATTCAATTCTTATTACCTCAACCTCAATTTACTTGAAAAATAAAATTGCTCTTTAATATTTTTTGAAATAAATTAATGTATTAGAATGAAGACATTTTTAATTTATAAACTACAAAATTTAGGAAGAATAAGCTATTGCAATTAATTTTCAAAAGTTAATAAATATAAGTAGATTTATTCAATATTGAATTAAATAAAAATTTCAAAAGAAATAATTTAGAAGTTCAAAAAAAATTAAAAAAAGCATTCTATTTATTTTGAATTAAAATATATGTAGGATGTTTAATTTTCAAATATAGGGTTAAGGAGGATCTAGCTGGCTATTTTATTTTATCTTCTCTGATTAAATAAAATAAAATAAATTATCGATTGGTGATTCTAAAGTAAAAACAAGTTTAATATTTGATTTTTTGTTAATCCTTTAGTAATTATTTCATCTAATTAAAATGAATGGAATCAAAGTTCTTTTAGAATAAGGTTAAAAAAATATTAAAATAATAAATTAATATATAATATGAAAATATTAACATCTCTGGTTTATTCCTATATAAAATATTAAAGATAATATTTTTAAAAAGAAATTAAAAATTTAAAACTAATCTTTCTCTAAAATATATTTATTATTATATATTTAATAAAACAATTCTTATATCAATCTTAATCTAATCCCATAAAACATCCAAAACTATTTTATTGGAATATCTTATTATAGGTTGAATTGAAAAAAGATAATGATAATCTAATTAATTATATATTTATAATATACTTTTTTGATCTTGTCATAATTTTAGATTTAGTAAACAAGTTCTATCTTAATTTAGTGTAATTAAGTTTTAATCTTTCGTCACTTAACTTCCATTATTGTAAAACAGAAACTAAGTATCTGGAGATCATAGAATTTTTAAAAACTTTATTAATGAGTGAAATTAAACATGATATGATTGGAGATTTAAACTTCTTATAATAAACTTTAAGAATATCCATAATAAATGGAAAGCATAATTTAAAGCAAAGAAGAATTATAATAATAGAAAGAATTACAGATAAGATTTCGTGACTAATTTCTTCACTAAAATATTTAATAGCAGCAAGGAAGATTGATATTGAACAAAGTTATCCAGTTCTTAAATCTAAAGTATTAAACTTAGATAAATAATATGGTTTATTTTTGTCTGCTAAGATTTGATAAAAAAGTAGACACAATCCCAATAAGGAAGCTTTGAGTAATACATTAGTTTCATAATAAGTAGTAATAAGTATTATTATTGCTTTATTTGAAATTTTAATGAATTCCCAAAAATAACTCGGATGAGCATATTCATTCATTAGATAGCAGATATGTTTTCTTATTCTAATTAAGTCAAATTAATGTCTTTTAGCATACATCAATAAAAACAAACCAAAAGGTATAAGACATCCGAATAACAATAATCCAGGTATTATTAAATATGTAATCCATAGAAGATGATCATCAGTACCATATTTTAATGAAACATCTCCTTATATATAATCAATAGTTGAAATCTTTCGAATTGATACTATTGAACACAACCTTATAAAATTTAAGAAGAAAATTTATACATTTTAATTAATCCTCCATAATTAAAAACAAATAAATAGAGCAATGTTGTTGATAGAATACTATAATCAATTTGTTATTTTTTAACTTTTTAATAAATGAATGATGCTATTAGTATTATTAAGAATTATATCAACATTAAAAATATGATCAAGAAAATTCTTATATATATTAAATGAATTCCAGAATTTGATAAATAACAATCTAAATTGTATGCCATAAAGTAAAAACTATTACTAGTTGAATCAATTAAGGTAAATTAAAATTTAAAATTAATATTAAATGTGAAAATCACTGAGAATATCCACAAATAATTTAGCCACATTTTAAGTAATATACTTTCATGATCTGATAATTAATTATAAATATAAATATATACCTTGATTTAATCTAAAAATTATATTACTAAACTTTTATCCAATTTTCAGAGATGCAAATAATCTATTTGATTTTTGAATACTTCTCAAAGTCAAAGTTATAGATACTAAAGCTCTAAACAATATTATATTAATTATTACTAAATTAAGGCCAATAGAAATGGAAGTACTCCATTATCAATTCCAAAACATCTAAAACAACTTAAATCCCATTAATTCTTAAAATAATATCCATCACCCATAATATTATTAACATCACATTCCTCACATAAACCTCCAATATGTCCAACTTTACATAATTAATTTCCAACATCCCAACCTCCAATACAGAAATCTAAGTTTTTAAAACATGATTAACAATAATCAGAATAATAATTTGGTCTCCAATTACCTTTTTACAATTAAATCATGTTTGATGTTATGTTCTAAAATTTTGTTTTATCAAAAATCGAACATTTAACAGCATCATATGTTACAGAATAAAATCCTTGATTTGAATTACAAATCTAACATCCATTATCTATATAGAATTCTCCAAGTTAACATTTAAAACTATTTGCATTTATTATATATTTTAAATTTTTATTTGATAAACCTGAATTACAACTAAGGAAAATTTGTAAATAATTCTCACTTTAATTGTAAGGATCTAAACTAAAAGATAAAGGACCAATATCAAAACAATTTTTTTATTAATTAAATTATAATGTTTAATTTTTACTTGAAATCAAGCCTTTACTCTAACTATTTGACAAAATATATTCATATACAATGCATGAAGAATCTTTCAATTCTAAAACCACTTCATTATAACTATTCTTGAAATAAAGACATATTTCTTTAATATAAGTAATATATTATTTTTCTTTTATGTAAAATAAAGCATAATTTTAAATTTCTTAATTACTTGGAATCATCAAGTTATTTGAAATTTTTTAAATACTCTATTCTATTGTTTTATAAGCTTATAGATGCAATACATATAATTTTGTATTATTTTCCATAAAAATGGAAGAAGGCTATTCATTATTATTTATTTATAATGCCAAATGAGTTGGTTATTCTACAATATTATTACCATAAACTTTTGCAGTGTTATAAATTAAAGTTGAATTAATTAAATTTGCTTTATTCAAATTAGCATCACCAACTAAATATATTCCTCCTCCTATCCTAGCTCTATTATTTATAATAATTGTATCTTTAATTAAAAATATATTAGAATTTAATTCTATATAAAACCCTCCTCCTTTTTCATTAGCCATATTATAGAGTATTTTACATTATTTAATAATTAATGGAACTTTTAAAACTCTAATTGCCACTCCATCTCCACCTATATTATGGATAAAGTTTGAATTATGAATAATAATTTTAGATTAAATCTACAATTATGATTAAAAATTTAAACATCCAAAATTTTTTATTGAATTAAAATTACAATTTACTTACAATAAAACAAATTTCTTAAAGTTTTCAATTTCAATTTATACAATTCCTTTAGAGCAAGTGGTACAATTATTCGATTAAATTTTAATGAAATTAAAATATAATTCATTTAAATTCGATGTACATTAAATATATAATAGAGAATTTATTTAATTTTGTTAGGATTATTATAATGCTATTATGTTCTCTTTTAGATAATCATGTTATTCTTCTATAATCTCAATTTACTTATCCAAAATACATCCAAAAATAGAATAAATATAGTTTTTCTCTTGAAAAATTTGATTTAATTTAATCTCAAGTAGACTCACCTTTGATATACTGAGTTAATTGAAATAAATTATAGACTTTTACTAAATATTTTAACTAATGTATATTAAATCAAGAGAATAAAGTGCTTATATATTTTCTATTTTACAATTCCTAATTATTAACCTAGGATTATTTATAAATTTTAAAAGTCTTCCTATAAATATTCCTTCAAAAATTAAACCATTTATTTAAGTAATACAGTTTTCTAATACTAATGCAGCATTATTGATTCCTGTTATTTCTAAAACCTCATTTGATGATAAACTTTTTACAGACTAAAAAAATTTGATCATAGCATCTAAATTTTATGTAATTTTAATATTTTAAAAAGTTAATTAATTCAACTCTGCAATTGATTAGTAGAATGGTATATTGATAATTTAGTTAAGTAAGGATATACAATTTTCTATAATAATATTTTTGAATAAAAGTTAATTTGAAAATGAAGAAGGTGATATCGATAATATTGATGAAGTTATTCTATTTTAAACTTGAAAAAATACAATATTTATTAAAGAAAGATTCAGTAAACTAGTCTATGAATTAATATTTATGCAACCTGATGATTTTGATTTCGATATTAAATCACTTAAAGTTGAATTTATGAAGATATTTTCTAGATATATATTCCCTGAACCAAAGGTTATAATATCAAAAACTTAACTTTTTGAAGCATATATTGAAGTAAACCTAGAATTTATACAAAAAATATTCGAAGCAGATATTTAGAATACTCCTCCAATAGTTTTAATTTAGAAGACTTAAGAAATAAATTAATTTACCTTTTCTTAACTATTATCAATTTCAATAGAAATATTATAGTATTCTTACCACAAATTTAAAGATAATACATTATGATAATTCACTTCAATATTATATAATTTTACTGAATCTGCAGTTACAATTATAAAAGAGTTTGATGAATTTGTAAATGCATTCTTTAAACACAATAAATCTTTAATTATTACTTGACTTTATGTAGATGTAATATATATCAGTCCTGCCGAATAAAGTAAAGATCCCTCTTAATAAACATGTATAAAATTCTTTTAAAATTCTATGTTTTCTAGTTGAATATTTACATTTTAATCAGAATTAATAGTAATAAGTGAAAGAGGAATAATTTAAAATGACTATAGTAAAAGATTTCCATAAAATATTAGGTTAGAGATTTTGATCTGTCTATTAATTTCACTTAATTATTATTTACTCTATGTTATTTAAATTATTGTTTCATCTATGCTAATTTACTTCAGAACTTTAAGATTTTATAAAACAATATTTATAAAACCTAAAATTTAAAGTAATTAATTAGTTGGAACCTATTCAATACAATTCTATGATAATTAAACTTTTTTTTTAATTTCTTACTATTCATATAGAACATTTTCAATAATTATTTTTTAATTTTCAAACAAGTAAAATATGTGAATATCATTTGAATTAATGATTTTAACATCTTGTATTAAAATTGAATAACAATTTATGTTAAACAAGTAAATTGATTAATTACTATTATTAGATTTTGAATTATATTCAAGTATTAAATCTGATATTTCAATTATTAAACTACTCAATTGATAAGTTGAAAATATTAGAAATAAATTAGAATTTTGAAACTTATTTGAAATTGCTTTAAAATATTATATTTTACAAGGCATATCCAAATCATATAGCATTTGTATTGTAGAAAGAAACTATGAATCAACAAATACATTATCTATTACCTCAATTTAAAATAATGATAAATTATAGCTAAATCCTATGATTATAGAATTTGACAAAAAGTTATTTATAAATGAAAAATTATTAATTTTAAGAGCCATTTAGCTAGAACAATCTAAAAAAGAGGAATTAATAAATTTACTATCTTTTATTTTTAAGTTTTAGAAAATAAGGTTAGTATAATTATAACTATTTGTATTAAAGTGAAAAAGTGAAGAATTAAACAATTCGCATTAATCAATCTTCACATCTTTAATTAGTATAGTAAATTAACTTTTTGAAAATTTAAATAATTAAGAGTTAACAATTATTGAATTTGAAATGGTCATAGTTTCAATAATAATTTAACCTACAAAATTCCAAAAATCTAAATTGAGAAATGAAGAATTCAAAATACTTGTATTCTAAATGGTAACATTAATAAATTTGATATTACCAAAAATCAGTGTATTTAAAATAGAATCAGCATTTTATAAGTAACTATCTTAAATAATAAAATCTTTTAAAGTAATGTCCACTTTTTAATTATTATTGATGAATTTAAATTATCCAACTGAATAAGTATCAAATATAAAACCTATATTCTCAATAAATATTGAATCATATAAAAATATTTAAATTAAGCCAAACAATTAAAAGAAAAGAGTATTCTTGGAGTTTAAGATTAATTTAATTTCTTATAATGAAAATATTTTCTTTTTTAAATTGTTTTAGGCAAGAATAGAAAAAGGACTAAAACATAATTAATCTCGAATTTGAAATGTAGAGTTTAAGAGTATAGAATTAATTCCCAATTAATTGAAATAATCTATGTCAAAATAATCCTAATAGCCAAAATTAAAAAATCTAATAGGGTCACATAAATTAAGAACCCTATCAATTTAAACATAGTAATTACATATCTAATTAATACAATATTTAGATATTTAATAATATGGATTAAAATTAATTAATGGGTGATTGTAAGGTTTTAAACAGGATTTAGTGTAAATGAAATTTTCATCATTAATTTCAAATTAAGGGGATATTAACTAATATTAAATGTATAAAATTACTTAAATATCTTCTTGTGATCTTTAAATGCATAGTTAACAAAGTTATGGACAATCAGAACATTTTTATCCTCTTTCAACTCTCATTCTTTATTTAAAATAATTCAAACTACATAATTCACAATAATATATTGATTATATTTAACAATGTAAGCAATTTGGATCACATTTATTTTATATATCCATAATTTAATAATCAAAATCTTAAAGCAAAGGTGCAAATTACAATCTAAAACTTTCTACTTACATTCTCCAACTTTATAATTAATAGCTTGGCTATATTAATTCTTCATTTTAAATACATTATTCATATTCCACAACATATCCTTATTAACAAACAACACATATAATATTTGAATGATATTATAAACATTATTAACAATTAGAAATGTGAATAAAACAATCATTCATTTCTGGAGAATTTGAAAAATCAATTGAAGATAATGTACATAATTCTTAATTATTTAAATCAATGAAAGATCTTAAACAATTAGGTAATTGAGTTTCCTACATTATGCATATTTTTAATGTGAAATCATATAAATAATTTTATTTACAAAGTGCACAAGCAATTTTTAAATCCTCCTGATAAATAAATAAATTATTAGATTTTAATGAGTTTGCTTCTAGAAAATTATCTACATATTCAAAACAATAGACACAATTTATTATTGGACATAAAATACATTATTATTTAGATGTAATATAAAATGGAGGTAAACAATTATCAAGATTATCTTCTTTTGGATAAGGATTAATAAAAATATTAGGTATACATTTTCCATTAAAAAATTCATAACTATCTAGACATCTTAAACATCTCATTCCTAATAAAGTTATATAACAATCTTGACAAAAATCTATTGTACAAACATAACATTAATTAGAATTTATTCTTATCTCTTCAATTTAGCAGAAGTTTATAAATCCAAAAGATAAATATTAATATAAATTGTAATTACCCTCCTCATTTTAAATTTCTTTTATTTACCAACAATAATAACAAAAATTTAAATCTAATCCATCAAATTAATAAAAAAAGCTATAAGTTCTAATCATAGTATCTTCTACAGTTCCTGATGCTTTCAAATAAAGATCCGTATCACAATTTGGATTAGAACTCCATCCTTATGGATTTTTATAACATTCATAACAACTAATACTATTCTCACTAATTATTGAAGGACTATAATTATTAACTATAATATCTACCATTTATAACATTCTCCATCAAGTTCAAAAAAGCCTTATTTACAATTTTTATTGATGTCATCATTATTTTATTCTATTATTGAAAATTTTTAATTTTTATCTGTAAGGCATTTCTCATCCTTATCAATTGAATTAGAAGGACAAATACAAACTTTATATTCAGATAAATAAATCCTTTGTGAATCTTCATGACAAGACAAACAATTAGAGTTAAGTGGACCATCACATTCTTTACAACTAAAATGACAACCCTATTTATTAATATTTGTTTCACAATTATATAAAATTAAATTATTAACTTTGAAAATTAAATAGTTCCAATCTTGCTACTAGATATTACCATATTATAATTTAAATTATACATTTGTAAATTAAATAACCTCAATCTCATCATTAATTTCAAAATTATTATCATTTTAATAAAATATTATTGAAATATATAATTATGTAGATTTTAGTTTAACAAATAAGTAATGCCAATTTTTAATAAAGTTTTGAGGAATTAAATATTCTTTTTATATTAAAAAAGGATTGTTCTCAAAATTAATATTAATACCAGGAAACAAGTAACTATAAGTTGTTATAAAGATTTTAAACGTAGTTTCAGAGATTAAATAATATAATTAAAAGGCTGCTAAATTGTTATTTTAATAAACTTCACTATCTAAATTTGGACCTAATTTAATAATTTAAAATTTATATTCTTAATCCATTGATACAATTTCAATAACTTTAAACCATCCTATTAAAATGAAAGAGTCACAATTAATTTATTCTGAAACATAAACATATTAATCCAAATAATTTATATTCTAATCTTAAATTTTTATATCATCTTCACCTATTTCACAAATACAAACATTAATATTTTGAAAAGCTTCATCTATAAATAAACCAGGATCAAAATTAGGTTATTTTTATTCAATTGAAAACTCTTACAATATTATCTAACCAGGAAATGATGAAAATACAGTCCCTTAATAAATCTCTGTAATTTTTGAATTTACTACTTTAAAGCTACCTCCAAAAGTTAAAATCAAATTATTATCCATAAAAGGATATTTTATCTATAATTATTTTCTTAATATAATATCTTAATTTTTTGCTATTATTAAATCAAATGTATTCAACTATGGCCATGCGTAAATTTATAAACAATACCAAATATTCTCATATTCATATTCTCCAATATTTATCTCAAATATATGTTATCTATTGTCATTGCCAATAAATTAAATTATCTTAGTTATAGATTGTTATTCATAATCTAAAAAATCATAATAAATCAGATTTAGACTTTACTATTCAAAATCAATTGCATTATGAAGCTAATAACAATTACTATCAAACAATCCATAAAGCCCATTCTATTTTATTATACTTAATGGATTATATTTAGACCAAATACCATACGTGAAAAAATTTGAGATTGAATAATCTTCCTCATTAATTTAAATATTATTCCTTTAAATCTAGTTGTTATAGTTCAATCTAGTCATTATTTAGGCTTTGCATGTTAAATTAAACAAGGTAATAATAAAAATCATATATTTAAATAATAATTGCTAATACAAACAATCTTATTCAAAGAAATATTAATAATTAAACTAATTTAATATTTTTTTTATTTAATGTATCTAATAAATAATAAATGAATACTTCATTATCTCAAAGGGTAAATTTACATCATAATTTTCTATTTTTATTTTTAAAATTAGATTATCCTCTTGATGTGCTATTAAAAGCTCGTCTTACATTTAATCTATTTAACTATAAACTATAATTTGTTTAATTTAATTATTAAATGCAAGAATTATTGGTTTCATCTTTATTATTGAAGCTACATCATCAATTATAATTACATTAAATTAAAAATTGAATATTCAGTAAATTTTGACTCTTTATATTTGAACTTATTAGTTCAACTTGTTAATTTCTATTTTTATTAGTTGATAATCTTTTAATTATAATTACTATGTATATATTATCTTCATTGTAGATTGATAAATTTTAGAAATTATAATATCGAATATGGAGTATTAATAATGGATTCATATGGAAATGAAAATTTGTTTTCTATACAAACATTAAAAATATCATCTTAAAAATAATTTATATCATTTTAAGTTAACTTAATTATATTTGTACTAAAAATAATAATAATAGTTTTATTAAATTAAAGGTAAATTTATTAAAAATCTTTTTATTCACTTTAATCTCATGGATCTATTGAATTCTTTTGTATCGGAAATGCAAAACGAAAAGGATATTTAGTATAAATATTATTATTCAAAAAGGCATAATAAATCTCGAAGAAAATTATTTAGTCTTTCATCATCAATATTAGATTTAAAAAGTAAAATTACAATAATACAGTTTTATTATTTTTTTCATTATCCGAATTTTTAAAGGTTTTGCATGATTATTAATGTTATAAAATTGATTAATTACTATTTTTATTGTAGTGATATTATTTAATTCACATTTAATAAGACAGCTATAATAATTTTAAACAAAAATGCATTAGTAGATCAATTTAATTCATGAGATATTATTAGCTGCTCAAGCTGATAATAAATTAGCTAATTAATTTTTTTTATAGCTATAATTTAATTTTCACTAAAGTTAATTATTTATATATGGGAGTTGTTTATGCTTTTGAAAATAAAGCAACTTTAATTTTATATCCAAAAGAATTAAATGCTTCTTTAATTCCTTTTAATGATGATATTGAATCTCTCTAAGATTAGTAAAAAGAAATGGTTTATGGTATTTTGAGAAGTGTAACGCAAGAAATTAGACTATAAAGAGATATAAATAATTAATTAAATAATATTTTTATTCTTTTGAAGATTTATTTAATATTTAAATAAAATAACAGTTTATTTCTANTATCTAATAAATAATAAATGAATACTTCATTATCTCAAAGGGTAAATTTACATCATAATTTTCTATTTTTATTTTTAAAATTAGATTATCCTCTTGATGTGCTATTAAAAGCTCGTCTTACATTTAATCTATTTAACTATAAACTATAATTTGTTTAATTTAATTATTAAATGCAAGAATTATTGGTTTCATCTTTATTATTGAAGCTACATCATCAATTATAATTACATTAAATTAAAAATTGAATATTCAGTAAATTTTGACTCTTTATATTTGAACTTATTAGTTCAACTTGTTAATTTCTATTTTTATTAGTTGATAATCTTTTAATTATAATTACTATGTATATATTATCTTCATTGTAGATTGATAAATTTTAGAAATTATAATATCGAATATGGAGTATTAATAATGGATTCATATGGAAATGAAAATTTGTTTTCTATACAAACATTAAAAATATCATCTTAAAAATAATTTATATCATTTTAAGTTAACTTAATTATATTTGTACTAAAAATAATAATAATAGTTTTATTAAATTAAAGGTAAATTTATTAAAAATCTTTTTATTCACTTTAATCTCATGGATCTATTGAATTCTTTTGTATCGGAAATGCAAAACGAAAAGGATATTTAGTATAAATATTATTATTCAAAAAGGCATAATAAATCTCGAAGAAAATTATTTAGTCTTTCATCATCAATATTAGATTTAAAAAGTAAAATTACAATAATACAGTTTTATTATTTTTTTCATTATCCGAATTTTTAAAGGTTTTGCATGATTATTAATGTTATAAAATTGATTAATTACTATTTTTATTGTAGTGATATTATTTAATTCACATTTAATAAGACAGCTATAATAATTTTAAACAAAAATGCATTAGTAGATCAATTTAATTCATGAGATATTATTAGCTGCTCAAGCTGATAATAAATTAGCTAATTAATTTTTTTTATAGCTATAATTTAATTTTCACTAAAGTTAATTATTTATATATGGGAGTTGTTTATGCTTTTGAAAATAAAGCAACTTTAATTTTATATCCAAAAGAATTAAATGCTTCTTTAATTCCTTTTAATGATGATATTGAATCTCTCTAAGATTAGTAAAAAGAAATGGTTTATGGTATTTTGAGAAGTGTAACGCAAGAAATTAGACTATAAAGAGATATAAATAATTAATTAAATAATATTTTTATTCTTTTGAAGATTTATTTAATATTTAAATAAAATAACAGTTTATTTCTATGAAAAAAATTTATATATATTTATTTTTTTTTATTTTCTTTCAAATTAAATTGATGTGTAAGATCTTATTCCAAAATTTTTTGAAATTAATAATTTTATAAAATATTTGATACATATGT